AAAAAAAAAAAAAAAAAAAAAAAAGATCAAAATGCATTGGTGTCTATTTTCTCAACCACAATTTTTGCATTGTTATGGTATTACACAATTACAAAATGGAGAATTTATGATGGTAATTCAATATGCATCATTTGGAGATTTAAGGATGCATCTTCAACGCAATCGTATATCAAGTTGGAAAGATAAAATTCGAATTCTTAAACAAATAGCTCGTGGTCTTGCTGAAATGCATAAGAGAGATCTCATTCATGGAGATTTACATAGTGGTAATGTAATGAATATTGATCAATCACATTTCGTTATTGGGGACGTTGGACTTTGTGGACCAGCTAATCGAATGACACGTAAGAAAGGGGGATTATATGGAGTACTTCCTTACGTTGCTCCAGAACTTCTTAGAGGAGCAGAATATTCAAAGAAAGTAGACATTTATAGTTTTGCTATTATAATGTGGGAAATATGTTCTGGTATTAGACCATACGCTGGTACAGCTCATGATGTTAATATGGCAAAAGATATATGTGAGGGGAAAAGACCACCTGTTCCACCTGGAACACCTTCTTTTTATTCTGAACTTATGAAAAGTTGTTGGGATGCTAATCCAAATAATCGTCCTAATGCACCTGAAGTATTAAAAACTGTTTACCACTGGTTGGTGAATGATTCACTAGATGAATATTTACGGAAAGGTGGTTCAACAATATTGTTCAATGGTTCTTCAAGTAATCTTACACATCCTGAAGCAGTTTATTACAGTCGTTTATTGGAGTTTCCTGAATTACGCAAGCCTAATTTACAAAATTCTTCAGTTGAAGAAAATAATAATAATTATCTACGACCTCCCTTAACTCAAGAAATTTCTACACAATCTCCTCGGGGAACATTAAATAGTTCAAAATTAAAATTAAGATCATCTCGAGAAACACTCGAGTCTAAGATTTCTCAAAGTACATATACTTCAAAACAATCACGTGCTACTTATAATAATAAACCTCAAGATACATCGAATTCAAGGCCTGTTCCATCTAAAACTTCTCAACGTACAAGTGGAAAAGTTTCACAAAGAAAATATAACAGTAATTCTCCCAAACCATCTAATTATTCGAGACCATCTCAAAATTCATCATACAGCAACTCTCAATCTACTGTAAAACCACCACAACGTAGTCCTATGAGCCCATCACAATTTTATGAATCAGCTCGTTCAGTTAAATCTGATGATAGTGTATCAGTAAATTCGAAAGCTTTGGAAAATCCACTTAGCGTTATTATACCAGATGATGATATCGCAACTCTTACTTCATTTTGGTCTATGGACGGACCTAATCTTAATACAATAAGATAAAGTTAATAACTTTGTCAGTCAAAACATAGATAAATATAGATATTATTTCTTTTTATTAAAGTGATGTACAATTCCTGGTGAATACAGTACATTTTTTTCTTCAAAGGAAAGATCATATGCAATGTGTATATATATATTAGCAATTTCTTTTTTTGGCGTTATACTAGGTTTTAGGGAATTTATTTTTGTTTTACATTTTCACATTTTTTCAAATATTAAATATTATACAATGAATTGATTATTATTTATTATTTTATGTAAATCTTCTCTTATTATTATTTGATATTTTTCTTTCTTAGTTGAAATAAATATGAGATATATAATCGTTGAATTAATTAAACTTTTTGTCTGCTTTCAGCATTTTCTTTCCAAACGCTTCCATCACTATAGACTTCTTTTTTCCATATTGGAGCTTTTTCTTTTAATTGATTAATTAGCCATTCTACAGCATGAAGTGATTCTTGACGATGAACACTTGATACTGCTATTATTACACTAGTTTCTCCAACCGGTACAATTCCTGTACGATGATATATCGCAGTTTTTGTAAGTTCCCATTTTGTTCTTGCTTCATGAATTAGGTCAGATAAAACTTTTTCTGCCATAGGAGAATAAGATTCATATTCCAATTGAATAACAGTTTTACCTGTATCGACGAATAAATAAATAAGAATTAGATTATCAAAATATGAAAACCAGTAGATAAAGAAGACACACCTTTGAAAGTGTTACGGGTCGTGCCATTGAATGTTGTAATTGCTCCAGCTCCATCATCCTTTACTAAATTTATAATATCTTGAAGTATGAGATTTTCTGAAGTCAATTTTACAAAATCTTTATCAAAGTTTGACATTTTCTCAAAAAAAGTAATTATAAGTAGGATAGGATAGGATTATCTATCTAATCCACCAAAAAAAAAAAAAAAAAAAAATTTATTGGGCAAGATGCTCGATTCCTAAATAAGAAAAATCATCGAAATTGCATTATGTAAGGTTTCACAATCTGCAAAGTTTCACAATCTAATAAATAATACAATTTTCCTTTTTGAAAAAATTTAAAGTTGAAAGGTTTTTTTTTTTTTTTCTTTTATTCTCAGATTTCAAAAAACCGAATTTTTTTTTTTTTGAATATTATTAAAATTTGTTTAAAAATTGAAAGGGAATAAAACTTGCCCTTTTTTAAAAAAAAAATAAAACAAAATTAATAAAAAAAAAAAAAAGAAAAAAAATTAACGATATTCAACATGCCGAGCGAAGCGTTACTTTTCCTTTTTGCTGTCATTATGGCCGCAGTTCTACTATTTACGATGGTTTTCTTTGTATCCTTTTTTTATATGAAAATTTAATTATTTCGTGAATTATTATTTATAAGATTTATGAATAAAATGAAATGGATTTTTTTCGATTAAATGCTTATCAAAGAAGAACGTATTTAAAGTTAGTTTTTATCCATAACATAATATTATCATTTAATTTTATTAGACAATTATGTTTTCGGATCTTGAATGTGATTATATTAATCCTATTGATCTTTGTAATAAATTGAATCAGGTAAGTTACAATATGATTAAATTAATTTGAAATCCCTTAAAAGTTACAAATATTAATACATGATTATGTTTAATATATTCTATATATATATATATATTTATATTTATAGTTTGTACTTCCAGAAATGATGGCTCATGCTTTCCTTGCTTTTATATTTTTAATTAATGGAAGTTGGATCGCATTAACCATCAATGCGCCATTAGTTGCTTATAATGTTAACAAGTAAATTATAAAATTTTTTTGTTCTTTTATCATTATATATACATTTATCATTCTAATAATTATCTTTTTAATTGGAAAATTTTTATTTTAGAGTAACAAGTAATAAACATATGTATGATGCTACGGAAATTTTTAGAACTTTAGGACAACATAAAAAAGAATGTTTTGCTAAACTTGGATTTTATCTTATTAGTTTCTTTTATTATCTGTATAGGTATGTACAAGCGTGAAAAGAGGACTTATCATGAGCAAAAAAATTAATTAATTCGTTTTTTTTTTCCCCCTAAAAAAAACCAAATAATTTAGGATGATTGTCGCACTCATCAATGAATCCTAAGATTTTCTGAAAGTTTGTGATAAAAAAAAACATTGATATGTTAGGAATTAATAATTCTTGGGTTAATATGATGATATTTAACTTGAGAATGATCGTATTGTAAGGTGAAAAGAGGGATTCAAAGAAAAATTATATTGGGGAAGAAGATTTATTTTTTCGATCAAAAAAAGAGAAAAAAGAGCAATACGTAATCAAAAGTGATTGGGGTTTTTAAACATTAGTTCAATTTAGTTAATATTAACAGTTTTAATATAAACGTATATGTTTTATTTATTAACATTTTGTTTTTTACATATTGTAATTTTGTACAGAAAAGAAATAAATTTCTTTATATTTGATGTACTGTTATAGGATGTGTGGAAAAAATTTTTATGACATCATAGATGCGTAACAAAAAAAAAAAAAAATTTCAGGTTTACTAAAATGATTTGATGCCAAAAATGTCAAATTGAATTAATTAATTAATAATTAATATAAATAATGTAATAATGTGGCTTTGCCATTTGTATTACAAATAAATCTTTCATATTTTCAAATCTTTTTATTATATAGAATAATTTTAAAAATATCTTAAGGAAGCAATTTTGACTATTGATTTAAATTAATTAAAAAAATAAGTGAACGTGTATAGATGTAAATTGTTTAAAATAATTTTAATAAATTAAACTCACTTTTAACCATTCATCCGTTAGTGTTTCAGTATCTCGAATATCAAATACCTAATAGAAAACAATATTTATAAATATTTTTTAATGAAATTGGGATATCAATTTCCCTATCATTAGGTTCATTAAATGGTTATAGGAAAAGTTTATTATACCTTATTTAAATCTGCTTTTTGTTGAAAATAAGTTTTCGCGCTTGCATACTGTATAAATAAATAAATAAATAAATAAAATATTAACGCCAAAGGAGATTTCAAAGATGAATTGAGATGATTTACCAGCATATTCGTCTCGGGATTTGTAGTAACTGGTGAATAATAAATCAAAATTAAAGGGTATGATTTGCGTCCGTCATCATGTAATAACTAATTCAAAGAGTTATATACAAAGTTAGATAAAATCAAGTTCATTTTTTTTTTAATGAAATCTATTATTCTTACTTCATAACTTAATACGATATACCGCGGAGAATTTTCGGGTAACTCTTACGTGTTTTTGAATACACAAGATTAAAAAAAAGTTTCAATGAAAAAGAATGCATTCTTAATAATTACCTTCAATAAGTTCTTCTAATGATATATTATCATATTGTTCATCTTCCATGACCAGTAATTTTTCCCTGTCGATTTTCACTTTATTGAATTGAACGGTAATAATTTAAATAATTAGTTTTCTATATAAATTTCGCTTTTCACGAACATTTCTATACATTTTTCATGTTACCCCGAAGCTCGGTTTAAACTAGCTAGCCGGTATATATTATAGCTTTTTTTGTTATTGTACTAATTTGAAAACTTACAAACAAATGCGGCACTTCCTTTCGAACTTTTCGAAAATCTGAATTTACGAAGTTTTTCTAATACTTGAGGATCCACCTCACAAGTTGAAGTCTAATTGGTTTTTCGCAACAAGACAGAAGATGATGTTAATATTTAAGTTCAGATTTCATCTTGTAAACGATTTAAAAGTGTATGCTAACTTAAGTACCATATTTTTTATATATTGATAAAAAGATGAAAATAAAAAGTTTTGATTTTATAATTTACATATAACAGATAATGAAAATCATTGCCAAGATTAAAATATAATTAGATTTTTATTGAGTAATTATTATAATAGTTGATCCATCATTTTATTAATAAAATATAACATCAAAGTCCAGCATTATAGAAGAAAAAAAAAAATATTTTTTTATGAATATGAAATAATGAGGCTCGCAATAATAAAAAGTTTCTTGTTTCCGATAGGGTTGAATAGGTTGAAACGGTTTAACCTCCAAAACCGTAGAGAGTGCGTCCTTGGCGTTTGAGAGCATAGACTTGAAAAGAAAAATTTTTTTTTTTTATCAATAAACGGAATACAAATGAATATGAGAATGAATTTTATAATGAACATGGAACTTACCGACGTCTAGAGACGTTACTGTCTTGCGTTTTGCATGTTCTGTGTAGGTTACTGCATCTCGGATTACGTTTTCAAGGAAAACTTTGAGTACTCCACGAGTTTCTTCATAAATAAGACCTGAAATACGTTTTACACCACCTCTACGTGCGAGACGTCTGATAGCAGGTTTAGTAATACCCTATTTTTATTTTTTGAAGAAAGAAATAAATAAAAATTCGAAACGAACAAAAGAAGTTTTTCAAAGTTATTATTATTATTATTTCTTACTTGAATGTTATCTCGAAGAATTTTGCGATGGCGTTTTGCTCCTCCTTTTCCAAGACCTTTTCCACCTTTGCCACGTCCAGACATTGTTTATTGTATTATTTTTACGGGGTATAAAAAAAAATAATGGGGTAACCTAATTTCAAGGCGAGGGATAAAAGTTTTTTTTTTTTGAAAATTTTCTGAAGAAATGTGGAAGGCCAGAAGGATGCCTTTATATATACCTGATCTGATCGCGTCTCGGTCAGCAACGCGCAACAATTGTTTTTATTGTTTTTTCCTGAAATTGTTGAAATTGTTTCGCGCTTTATTATTTAACGTGTCAGGTGATGAATCACGATACACGTACTGTGATTAAGTTTTTGTCGCGTCCGTAATAAACATATACATATTCAGTTACAATTACTCAATAATACTGATTACGACGTGTAACCGTGTTACATATCTAAGTTATATTTGGATATTCTTCTTATTTTTTCTATTTTTTACTATTTTGAGAAGTTTTGAATGGTCACGTATGTCACGTTTGCGCGCGTTCAGTTTGTGATTCTTTAAGAATCACGTCGAATCATCAAAACAATCATTTTAGGTTGACGCGTAAAATCAAAAGCTATATAAAGGGCGAATTTTTAACTTACTCCCAATTTTTCTTCTTACAAATATTACCTAGTTCACCCCCCCTTATTAAACATTTTCTTAATATTATAAACTTCTAAAAAAAATATAAAAATATAACAATGGCCAGAACAAAGCAAACTGCTCGTAAATCAACTGGTGGAAAAGCTCCCCGCAAACAACTTGCTACTAAAGCTGCACGAAAAAGCGCTCCAGCTGCCGGTGGTGTTAAGAAGGTAAAATAAATACGATAATATTTTTTTTATGACGTTAAGCTTACCTCCATTTACATTTATTCTTTATTTTCTGTATTTTATTTTATTAGCCGCATCGTTATAGACCAGGTACCGTCGCTCTTAGAGAAATTAGACGCTATCAAAAGTCCACTGAACTGTTGATTCGAAAGCTTCCATTCCAACGCTTGGTACGTGAAATCGCACAAGACTTCAAAACTGACTTACGTTTCCAAAGTTCAGCCATTGGAGCTCTTCAGGAAGCTGCCGAAGCCTACTTGGTAAGTTCAAAAGTATTAACAAATATACATAATACATAAATTACATCAATTAATAATCGTAAAATATCTTATTTTGGAAATTAGGTTGCATTATTCGAAGATACGAATTTAGCGGCCATTCATGCAAAACGTGTTACAATTCAACCTAAAGATATTCAACTCGCTAGACGACTTCGTGGTGAACGATCCTAATTTTTTTTTTCTTTTAATGGAGGAACATTTTATATAAATTGGTTTTTTATTTCTTTAATGTAATTGGGTGGGAAAGTTGGATATCGTTATATTTTCCTTCATAATTTTTCTATATGTAAATGCTCATGAGTGTTTCGTAATAAAATTTTACGAACCCGCACAAATTGTTAACTAAAATAAGCCAAATAAATTTATATTAATACTTAATTTCGCGCTTTATTTCGTGTCTTTAAAAACATTGCTAAAAAATCTAATTTTGCCATTAAAGATCAAAGATCTGTTTAATCTAATTATCACATGTACTTACTAACTACCGTAGGACAATTACTATAATTCGTTATCCAGGCTCCGTGAGAAAGTTGAGGCTAAAAAAGTTGAGCCTATTAGTAAAAAGGCTGAGTCATACTCTCATACATAAGTTGGCATATCTGATATTGAAAATCCTTTGATTTGTTTGTTACGCGAGCCTAGAATTATCCGCTGTTGTTGATTGAAAAATGTTATTCGACGCAAAATTTCAGCCAACAATATTTTTAATATTTTCGATATCTTAATATTTGCCAAGAAATTTCCCTTAAAAAAAAAAAAAAAAAAAAATTAAGCTTTCATTTGTTTCTATCGGATTACTCTTAACAAAGGATTTCTTAAAGAAAATGTCGCATTCGCCGCGCGAATCGTCGACACCTACTGAGTTTGGTATGAATTCGCTTCTATCTTACACTAAGTACGAAAAGAGTCTAAATTATTTATTTTACGAATAAAATTATAAGGTAGTCAATACGATACTGACGAAGAACAACTTACGGAAGTAACTCCACTTACAGCACCCGATGGATCAGGTATTACGTTCAACATAAAATAGCTCTTCTTATTCGTTCTGCAAGTAAATCACTTTCTCACAATTCTTAAATTTAGCTCCTCAAACTAATAATAGACATAGTGACTCATGGATAACTTTCAAAACTCGGCTTAGATATTATGTTCCGGTTTTCAGTTGGTTACCAACTTATTCTATACAAATATTCATTGAAGACTTTTTAGCCGGTTTAACTGTAACAGCCATTTTGTTGCCCTCTGCTTTGTCATATTCTGTGTTGGCAAAGCTTCCACCTGTTCATGGTTTATATGCTGTCGTCATACCTGGAGCCATTTATTCATTTCTTGGCACTTCAAAGTAAAATATTATATTATTTGAAATTAGTTACTCATTATTGTATTCTAACTGATTTAATTATATACCTAGACAATTAGTTATTGGACCAGAAGCACTTGTATCTATGCTTATAGGTTCTTCTGTAGTACAACAACAACGATATATGGACAAAGAGGGTGACGAAGTATCTGCTATTTTAATCGCAGGTTTAATAACATTTTTTGTGGGTATTTTGACGTTTATTCTTGGTATAGTTCGATTAGGATTCTTGGATTCTGTATTGTCTCGTGCTCTTTTGCGTGGATTTATTTCTGCTGTGGCAATTGTAATTATGATCGAACAACTTTTGGTTATGTTCAAGTTATCTGAGACAGCTGCAAAGGATGGAATCGGTCACGCATCGTCATCAGTTGAAACTTTTGTCTATATTATTACACATCTTGATCATGCTCATATATTAACTACCATGGTTTCATTCTCAAGTCTTGCTTTTCTTTTAATAACTGGCTTCATCAAAAAAAAATTGTCCAAACGATGGCCACAAGTGCAATTCGCACCGGAAATTTTAATATGTGTTATTATATTTACAATATTGTGTAATATTCTTAATTGGGATGAAGATGGTGTCGATATTCTTGGATCAATTAAAGGAGGTGGATTCCCTAGTTTCCAACTCCCTTTTCCAAATCATTCTCATCTTAGGGATTGTTTTGAAGCAGCTGCTTTGATATCTGTTATCGGTTTTGTAGAATCTATTGTAGTCACAAAAACTTATGCGACAAAACATAATTATGCTGTTAGTGCCAACCGTGAGCTAGTTGCCTTGGGTACAGCAAATTTAGTTGGAAGTTTTTTCCAATGCTTCGCTGCTTATGGTGGTATGGCGAGGAGTGGTATTAATGATAGAGCTGGTGCCAAGACTCAATTAGCAGGGCTCATTAATGCTACACTTGTACTTTTATGCTTACTTTTCCTTCTTAGTGCATTTTATTATCTGCCGAAACCAGTATTAGCAGCAATTGTCACAGTTGCTGCTATATCCCTGTTAGAAGAACTTCCACATGATTTATATTTCATGTACAAGATTAAAGCATGGAAAGATTTTGCTTTACTCTTTTTGACCTTTTTCTCCACTATTTTTATTTCTATTGAATATGGCACATTAATTTCAGTTGCCTTATCGTTAATACTTGTGGTTAAACATTCTACTTATCCACGTATTACATTATTAGTAAGTGCTTATAGTTAAATAATGGGTTTCTTTCTTTTTACTTACCTTTTATTAAAAACCAATTGTATTTGCAATTATAGGGTAGGATAGGTGATACAAACCGTTTCAAACCTATAAAAGATTTTCCTGACCAAGCTGAACATGTTGAAGGAGTGCTCGTTGTTAGAATTTCTGAACCCTTGTACTTCGCCAACACTGGTCAACTTAAAGATCGGTTAAGGCGTCTGGAAGAATTCGGTGATATGAGTGTTCATCCTTCTGAAGAAGCTCGGATGTCTCCAATTGAGAATGTAATATTTGATATAGAAACAATGGAAGATATTGATGCTAGGTATGTATATAGTTAATATAGTTTTTTTATTACGAATTTACGTTGACTTAATAATAAAAAAATTCACAATCAATTATAATTATTTAGTGCTGTGCAAATTCTTTTGGAAATTATTGTAGCATATCATCAACGTGGAGTTAATGTATTTTTTGTAAAATTGCGTGAAAATCAAAGGAAGTTATTTATACGTGCTGGAATAACGGATAGAGTTGGGAGTGATCATTTCTTTAAGTAAGAATTTTTTTTTTACTTTAAAAGCGATTGTTAATTTGGATTTTAATTTTATTTACATTTTTATTTGTTTTAAATAGGCGAATTCCTGATGCACTTGAATATATCAATAGAGTAGGATTGAATATTGAATGATCTAAAAAATATTCTTAAATTATTTCTTACATTTCATATTATTATAATGATGAAAATAATTGCTGGTGCAATTGTTTTTTAAAATAGATTTGAAAATCTATCTTTATATTCTGTAATTATATGTAATAAATTAACTATTTGATCACAGCTTCATAAAATGGTGCGATCTTCAATCACATGACTCTTGTATTACAAAGCTACGAATTTTCGCGTGCTAAAGCAAAATTAATAAAATACTTCTAATCATTCATGTATTAATAGAATATACTTTTGGCTGTTTATTTGCCTATTATAATTAATGGGTGTATGTAAAATAATATACATAGAAATATAAAAAAAATTAGTAATAAACTAGATCCCGACAATAAATTCTTAACGCCGGCCGGGTTGAAAAGTTTTATGGCATAAAAAAGAAAATTGATCCTCGTGATGGCTGATCACCTCGTACCACAACCCTTTTCCGTGGTGCGGTGGGTGGCTAGTTTTGTTATTAAATTTGAACACATGTTTTCAGAACAAAATTAAAATTTGTTCTACCAAAGAATACTTGATAAAAACCGTCTACTCCAATTACCCCATGGACCGAACAACGGAATCTGTAACCTCCTGGGATGTGAATAAAGTACATGCCTGGCTTTCTTCTCTTGGTTATTCCTCATATGAATCACAACTAAAAGGTACTTTGAAAATCCTCCAATTTACCAGAAATCTCGAACCGTTTCGTCGTTATTGCTTTTTCAGCGGTTAACCTTTGCAACCTTTCATCTCAGAACAAGGTATAAGTGGGGAGATCTTGGTTCATTTAGACCATGAAGCACTCAAAGACCTTGGTATACGTTCGGTCGGCCACCGAGTTTCCATACTGAAGGCTATATATAACCTGAAAATACAGCATAATATACCTGTCGAGATTGGCGAATATATTCCTCCTTGTAAGTGTGATCTTTTTAAAAAATTAAATTCGTTCTGTTATATCGCTTAAATTTAATTTTTTTATTTTTGGCTCTTTACAATAGCTGCAGAATTTGAAAGTGTACGTATAACTCTTAATTTGTGTTTTTTATTTTAGCTTGAATAATTTGATAATTTTTACCAATTCATTTTTCAGGCAATGAGCGTTACGAATGGAATTCCAGACCTTCGTAAAATTGAAAGCGCAATTCAAGAGAGAGGTATTTTGAAATAAATACAAATAACAATTATTTTTGAGATTCGTTATTTAATATCATATTTAACTAAAATTTTTAAATTTAACTAGATGCATTGATTTCACATTTGTCGAAAGAAATTCAAAAATTATCAACTGACTTATCAAGATTACGAGATGACTTTTGGAAAATGGCTAAAGAAAATAAGGTTCAAATTAATTTTAGGAGAATTTTTGTTAAAAGGCTCGGAAGTATACCTATTTAAACTTCATCGAAAATTTATACATAAAATTCGAATAGCCATTACCTGAGCCGGAAAGAAGTCCTAATAAAATGAAGTATGGTAACGTAAAGGCAAACCTGTCCGTTACAGTTCCTGGCATAAGTATAACAAACTACTCGAAATCACCGACATATTCATCGGATGGTTCAAGTGCGCCACCTTCTCCTCACTCACCACGCGATGGAAATCGTAACCGTTATCACAATAATGATTTTGATGTAAGTTAGTTTCTTACATATATGTATATTATATTTAAAAATTTATAAATATATTTTTTATTTATCTTTATGTTATATAGAAACCAAACACGCCTCAAGTAACAATCAATGACACGCAAAATGGTTCCATAAAATTTTTTGGTAACAATCAAAATGCTAATGCTAATCGAGAAGCTGAATCTTATAAAAGTTTTCGAGTGTCACTTGAAGATCCGTGTTACAAAGTCCTACCGGCTGCTCTAAAAAAATATAAAATTACAGATGATTGGCGTCAATATGCATTATTCATCTGTTACGGAAGTCCAGGTAAATTCATTGACTTGAGATAAATTTATGAATCTTTAGGTTTTATATATTGATAGCATAATCTCGATACTTTCAATATTTTCACAGATCACACGACAGAACGTTGTTTGAGCTATGATGAAAAACCTTTATTATTATTCCAAAAATTAAAGGAAGCGAATCAAAATCCAGTTTTTATGTTAAAAAATATTAAAGAGATTAAATCACCTGTTGCTACAGCTGAGGAAATTATTAATTCATTGAAGGCAAATAAATCGAAACGACGTACAACTCAATTTTTAAACAAAGAATTGCCACCAGCGCCTGACGAAAATTATCCAATGCCTTCTTCAAATCAACAATCCTCTGAATATCAAACATCAAATGATTATTCTGTGGATCTGGTGGAGGGTAATGGCACAGCAGTTGCTATTTATCCATACGTTCCAGAACTTGATGATGAACTTAATGTAATTGTTGGAGATGTTTTCAAAATTAGAAGCAAAGATGGTGGTTGGTGTTTTGTCGAAAAGGATGGTCAAACTGGATGGGTTCCAGCTAATTTCTTGCTTGAAACAAGCGTAAATGGAGGGGATATGATGGATGATGATAGTCCATATGTTGGACGAGGCGTTGCTTTAATTGATTATGAAGAACTCAATATAAAAAAAGATGATACGCTTCGTATATATAAAAAACAAGATCATTGGTTATATTGTGAAATTAATGATGAGCGTGGCTGGGTACCAAGTTGGTACGTTAGGATTGATAAAGATCTCATCTATGAAGACGAAAGTGAGGTAAATGATTATCGTCTTTTCTGACAAATTATTGTTATTATTTCATTATTTTCATTTTATTTTGACTTATAGGGTACACGTATATAATAATTCATTAAAATTGTATCTTTGTTATATTTCTCATTCTTTTCGATTTAGGTGGATCCTACAAGGTAATAAAATTTAAATTGTTATTATTTACATATTTTAGTTTTATGATTGAAAATCAATCCTTTTATTATTAGTCCAAGAAGAAATGGTTATGAAAGTGGACAGCGTTCACCTTATTTCCTGCACCACACAATGGGCACTCCGATAAGGAATAATTATAACCACAATGATTATTCCTTTGCACATCACTTTGGCGAAGGCTTCTTAATTTGAGAAAGAAAAAACAGAACTTTTCACATTTATACTTAAGAACAATTCTTTTTATCACGATTCCTTCTATGATATCTTTGTACAAAGATGGAGAAGATGTCATTACATTAAGGAAACCGGAATTTTCTGTATAAATAATTAATTATTTTATCATTATTATTTATTATTAGTCAATCATATAGTATCATTCCTTTAATTGAATTAGTAATGGCAAAACCAGCGAAAGAGATTTAATTTGATGTAAATGGCTGGGTAGAACAGAGACAAAAAAAAAAAAATATTATTTAATTTTGATGAAAATTTCTACTTGTGTACATATTATAAGCTTCGAATTGTGTCTTGCTTTTTTTTTAACTTCCAATCTTTTGATTAGTTGTGGACAATTGCAAATAACTAATAATGCTGGTAGTAAATTAGCATTATCAGCTTTGCAATTTCCAGTTAAACTATTCACTATCAAATAATAGTGGATTTGCATAAACTCACAAAACTTGAAATAAAAATAATAAAAATAAAATATCCAGAACCTTAATAAAGTAAATATTAATAATTTAGTATTTTTTTTGAAAAATTTTTTCTTAACAACTAAGATTTAATATTTTTACATTTTTGTAGATATTTCCAACAGCAAAAACAGTTTTCAGACATATAAATATTAAACTAATAAAAAGATGATCTTATTATAATTTAAAGAATTGATTTTTTTTTTTAACATTATACTCAGTATCCTTGATTAAAAGAAGAGTTTACATGAAACAAAAAATTAATTTATTGTAGGTTAAAGTAATAATTCTTTATATAATTTATTCCATAATTAGTAGAATTATAATTTGTTATTTACTTAGTAGAAATAGATTAAATATAATATAAAAAATAAGTAAAAAACTTTGCCTAAATAACTAAAAAATATAAAAATAACTAAGAACCTTTAATCTTTATTAAATCTAGCTATAGATTTTTAATCTCTTTTAATAATAATAAAAATTAAAAATTAGTAATTTACTTAATTTGAAAGAAAAGAACAATTATATATTTTAATCAAATATAATTTATTATATAGTAAAATTTCTTTAAAAGATTAGATAAATAAAAGAATTAATTAAAACTGTCAGTAAGATAAAGTATTTTAAACCAATTCAATTACAGTTCACCCTCGCTATAGTGAAGCTCATGGGCTGAAGGTTAAGATTCACTATAGTAAGGGATTCGCTATAGCGAAGGTGAACTGTATTAAGAATTATTATTTATATAGAAAATCCGTACCTGAGCTTTTCTTTACTATAGCAAATTATTCACTATATAAAAATTCACTATAGCGAGGGTGAACTGTACTTACTGCATTATATGTCACGTGAGTTCGCGAATTACGTCACACGCGATTTTTTTTTTAAAATAATTTATAAATTCACTACTTTCACAGTTGCACTACTTGCATCTATTACCATTTTTAGCTCTTTAAATCATAATCTTCAAAAATAATTACAAATGCGTAAAAGTATTAAGAATAATGATTTTAAAACCCCTTTTAAGTTTCCTCGATCAAATGTAGCCGATAAAAAAGAACAAGCTTCTCAGGAAACTCTTTCTTATAAGAGCGTCAAATATTCAGTTACATATCCTGCAAAACGCGCTAAAATTGATATTTCGAATAAAGATAAAAATATTTCCAATGTAGAAGATTCAAACAATGAAAAACTTCCTCACAAGAAATTAAAAGTACTTAAAGAAAGGAATACCAACGATGTATCACCTGAAAATTCCAATAAATTTAATTATGTTAGGCCGACCTTTTCTTTTAGCCAATCATTAAAGAAATTTTCGCGTCCTTTTAAAATTCCTACTTTTATCAGGCAACTTGAGAATGGCCAACGAAAATCACAAGTGGGAACTCTGCATAAATTTCCTACAGCTGTAAAGCCCGCACATGATCCTAAAGCACAAAATGCAATTATACTTTATGATCCTTTGGATGATCTAGATAACTTGCAAGAAAATATTAAAGGGAAGGATAAATCCGTAGCAGAAATTTTGGGAACTAAAAACCCGGATAATATGAAAATTCCTGTAATCGTTGGTAAGATATACATTGAAGTTTTAAAAATTTTTATTATCTAGCAAATATTATACATATTTTGATAATCGGTTTAGATCCAATCTTGGGACAAAAACTTCGCCCTCATCAGATCGATGGTGTAAAGGTATGGTTTGTATGAAAATGATGTTATGAATGTTAAAAAATTATTTGGTTGCGAACTCTCATAATCTTTGGTTAATTCAATATTCAACAAGTTTCTTTATAACTGTACAACTGGAAGAACTGTAGAAGGAGTTTACGGGTACACATCGTGAGAATTTAAAGTTATTATTTTCTTTTTTTTTTAATATTTTTTTTTTTTTTTTGCAGATGTATTATGGCAGATGAAATGGGTCTTGGGAAAACTGTAAGAATTTTGATCAAACCTTAAAGAAATTATTATCAATGAATTATAATTTTAAAATTCATGTAATATAGCTTCAGTGTATCACACTTCTGTGGACGCTACTTAAACAATCGCCTGAATTTAACAAGAAAACAATAGAAAAATGTATCATTGTTTGTCCATCAAGCCTTGTAACAAATTGGGCTAATGAGCTAGGCAAGCCAACTGTCAACTGTCCTATTAGTATAACGTAATAATGTTTTTTAGAAATTAATCATAAGAGTTAATTAATTAGTTAAATGGCTTGGTACTTTACGAATAAAACCGTTAGTGATCGATAACAAGGGGGGTAAAGAAAACGTGTTGAAAGAATTAAGGCAATTTGCTATTTCTCAGGGTCGAACAATTATTTATCCTGGTATGTCGGAATTATTGGATCCTTGTTTGAGAATACATAACATAGTAATATCATTTTATTCTACCATTTCAAAATTACATCGAAAAGTTTTGATTGTTTCGTATGAGACATTACGTACAAACATTGCAGAATTAAAAGATAGTAAAATCGGCCTACTTTTATGTGATGAAGGACATCGACTAAAAAATTCAAGTAAATGATCCTTTAATGATTGCTTTATAATTTGACACGTCATTCAATTATATGAATCATTTTTGTATTTTATAGATTCGTTAACATTTCAAGCTTTAAATTCACTTCAAGTACAACGAAGAGTAATTTTATCTGGGACACCAATTCAGGTGATTACAAGAACATTATTAAATATATTTTATTTACGCTAAAATAATTTCTGTTTATTATTTAGAATGACCTTTCAGAATATTTTTCACTTTTAAATTTCGCCAATCCTGGACTACTTGGTACACCCAACGAATTTCGCAGAAATTATGAAAACCCTATTCTTCGTGGTAGAGATGCTGATGCAACTGAGCATGAACGATCTATTAGTGATCAAAAATTAGCTGAATTATGGAGCGTCGTGAGCAAATTCATTATAAGACGAAGCAACGATATTTTATCAAAATATTGTGTGTGATTTACTCAATTTTAAAAATAGTTCAAGTTATTTTAAAGTGATAAATTAACTTCATTTGATAAATTTTCAAGTGCCCATAAAATACGAACATGTCGTATTTTGCCGATTAAGTGAATTCCAATTGTCTTTGTACGAATTGTTCATGACATCTCCTGAAATTCAACATCTCTTGCGTGGTATAGGTTCACAACCTCTTAAGGGTATGTTCTTTCAAATAGATAACAGGATGCTAGTTTTATACATATTCTAATGGCTTCAATTACAGCTATAACTATCCTTAAAAAGTTGTGCAATCATCCCGATTTGCTAGACCTTCCAAAGGATCTTAAAAGGTCAGAAAAATGTTTTCCACAAGGATATTCAATAAAGGAAAAGGCTCGGATAGTTAGACCAGAATTTTCTGGTAAAATGTTGGTTTTGGATAGGTAAATTTTATAACGTTTATTGCTTGAAACGAACGTACTTTGAATAATATCATGTATATATTTCTCTTTTTCACATAGAATGTTGGCAAAAATTAAGAATGAGACAAACGATAAGATTGTCCTGATTTCAAACTATACTCAAACACTGGATCTATTCGAAAAATTATGCCGGATGAAAAAGTAATGGTGTCTTTGTCTTTGGCCAATCATTTCCGTATTATCAACGCTAATATTTGCTTTAATCTTTTAAAGATATGAATGTCTGCGGCTTGATGGTTCTATGTCGATAAAAAAACGTCAGGAACTTGTAAATCAGTTTAATAATCCAAATAACCCAGAATTTGTTTTTCTATTAAGTAGTAAAGCGGGTGGATGTGGTATAAATTTAATTGGGGCAAATCGTCTTGTATTATTTGATCCTGGTACGTTTTGTTTCTTTAAAGAATGACAATTAAATAATTAGGCAGATAAATTAATATGCTTATATTCACAACTAGACTGGAATCCAGCTTCAGATCAACAGGTAATTATACTTCTTTTAATTTATTAGAGTATTGTTTTACTGACGTATAGTTATCGTTTACTTCGTTGCTTAGGCACTGGCAAGAATTTGGAGAGATGGACAAAAGAAACAATGTAAGTTTAACAAATAATGGTACTATGATTGTATTATAGATAGCCCTTTTTTTGGAGGTTTAATCCTTAATATCAATATTAAAGGCTTTATATATCGATTTATTGCGACTGGAACGATTGAGGAAAAAATTTTTCAACGTCAATCACACAAGCAATCTCTCTCATCATGTGTTGTTGACGAGGAAGAAGGTGTAGAAAGACACTTTTCACTTGAATCATTAAGACGTCTGTTCCAATTTGATCCAGACACTATATGCGATACTCATAGTACTTTTAAGTGCAAAAGATGTATTGAAGGAGTTCAAGTTCTTCCAAGGCTTCCCAGTGAAAAAATGGTCTATGGAGACACGAGTTCGTAAGTTTTATCATATTATAATATACATTCATCGAAAATTTCGCTGTTTAATGCTAATTTTTTCCCCGTAAAAGATGGGATCATTTTACTGGAGGATCAGATCTTCTCAAGATTAAAGATTCGATTCTGAAGCTGGAAGTTAATCAAGGAGTTGTTTCTTATGTTTTTCAATATACTTCTCATTAAACCGAGGATACTTAGTAGGTTTATATAATTATTCTTGGATAGGTAGCCAAATTTATCTTTATAAATAGCTGAGATTCTAATTTCCAATGAAAGTTTAATAAAAGTATTATATTGATTAACGTACCGTAAAACATTTTTATGTTTCTATTTCATTGTTATCTAATTTGATTCTTTTTACTTTATACTTTTCATTCTTGCTTTCTGCTGTATCACACGTTTTCTTATTAGAAATCTTAACATAATTGCGAATTCTATGTTCTTTGCCGCCTCCAAGAATAATAGAAGTTGATGCATTAGTTGATGAAGTTATTATATTATTATCGGAATAAACAAAATCTTTTAACGACTTGTTTTGCGTATTTTGTTCTTTCATTTCATTTTGCATTATTTGATTTAAAGACATTTCGCCAAGATCGTAAAGAAGTGTTGAATAAACTAAAGATTTTGTCGTATGAATGTACCACTGTCCATAAACATGTTTATAAAGTCTTGAGAGAGTATTGAACGAAGTGCCGGAATCACGTCCATATTGCCATTCAAGATTATCAAATTCACAATCGTATAACACCAACGGAATCTCGCTAGCCATTTCATAATTAGGCTTAGCAGGCGTTTTTGTGATATCCAAAAGGTTGTCAATGATAGATGGAGATTCTAACTTTTGTCCTATTAAAAAAAGAATTGACATCATAAATCTAACTTGATGCCACAAAAATGCTGTTCCACGCAAGTTAAATACATAAAATTCTCTGAATTCTAAAGGATTATCCTGATGCTTGTATTGCACTGGATCAATTCTTGCTTCGAGTATAGTGCGTTCAAAATTAGTAATTTGTTTAGAACCATCAACTTTACAAAAATTACGAAAATCATGAGTTCCAAGAAATCGGTTTGCCGCTTCACGCATTAACTCTATATCTAAATTTCCACGAACGAAAAAATATTTGTATTTTCTAGATTTACAATTAAATCTTGCACTGAAATCTTTATCAACAGGAGCCCAAGCTAATATTCTAATATCATCTGGTAATAACCTATTTAAAGTATCAATATATGGCACTTCTTCAATTTTCTTATTATTAGTTATGTCAGAGGAGGTATTTTTTGGAAGATTTGATCTGACGTCTAATGAAACTACTTGACCCAATCCACTAACACCTTTATCGGTCCTGCCACATTTAGAAAAATTACAATCCGATGGATCAGCTATTAATTTTGCATTTAACAAAGATTTAAACAAATGACCTTCAATAGAAGGAAAATCATCTTCATTTCCCTGAGAGGCGAAACCACTATAATTCCAACCCAAATAAGCGATTTTTAAAGCAATACTTCTTATTGAATATTTTGACCAGTCAAAAGGCCTAGCAGAAGTTGATTTTTTATTCTTTTTATCTACCTTTTTTGTTAGAATTATCTGGGAATTTGTAGAATTTAAAGTGTTTTCTTCAAGGTTTGATTCGTAAAATAAGAGTTTTTCGATAAGTTGTTTTTTAGTCCAATTTGAATATTTTTCATTTCCAGGCAATTGTGACATTTTGCACGATTTTATTATAATGCAAAGCGGAGGTTTAAAAAAGTTCTTATAATATTTTTCGAACATTCATAAGTTTATAACGAAATAAATTTGAATATCTTAGATTATCGTTATCTGTATAAACATAATTTGGATTATGTTGATCAGTGATCATAAGAAAAACTTTTCCGGATTTTTATACCAATAGTTGTCAAATTTGAATATGAACAACACTAGTAGTGACAACAACAACAATAACAATAATTATAGTAATTCTACTCCCACAACCGCGACAATGAGTATAAATAATCTTATCAACCCCAGCAATTCGAACGCAAATAACACAAATTACGACACAAATAATTCTACTGAAGTCGGCACTTTCGTGACAAACCCGATGACTAGTCCTCCGCGTCGCCCAAGTAATAATAATGTACCTCCTCAACTCCCAGATCCTCTTGCTACACCATGCTCTTTTCTTCGTAATAATAGTGCATCTGCTACACCAAGTCTTATAGCTACGCCACCTCCACCTTTTAAATATCCACTTCCTCATTCTCCATATTATGATGCTAGAACAAGTTTGGGAAGTAATTCGTCTAGTAGTACGAATCTTAAGATGGAAGATAAGCTAAGATATTGGAGACATGATGCTTATCTGAAGAATTTATATGAAACTGCGGCGTTTTGGGGGAATAAAGTTGTGACCATCACAGGTAATTTTACTACAGTCTTTATTTTATTTCCAATTAATAATGCTTTTAAACTTGATTAATTTATAGGCGATTCAAATGATGTATTTTGGCTAGCACAAATATATTATAATATGGGTCAATATGTTAGAGCACAAAAATTAATTTGGAAATTAATGGATACTAGTGTCGCATGTAGATTTTTAGCCGCAAAGTGTTGCGTGAGTATGAAATGAATAATGATCATAAGTTGATCAGCGAAGAAATGTATTGTCTATTTTTTATTTTTCTTAGAATAATTATTATAAGATTCACCCATATTCCAATTATTTCTCATTTTTATTTATTTTATCTATTAGATCAAACAAGAAAAATATCAGGAAGCGTTAGAACTTTTAGGTGAAGAAAATACTTTTGCTGATAGAGGTTTGTCAAAATTGATAATATATCTTTTATTTTTAAAAATTCTTTTATTGAGTTTAGAATTTTGGCTAAAGGTTATAGATCATTAGTGAAAAACACGGAAGGAGGCATTCAGGTTATATAAAATTAAAATCAATTACTTTCGAAACTGCAATATTTATAATAAATTATTAATAATCATTTTTCCATACACATGTAGCTTGAAGCATCCATATGTTATCTACGAGGCTATGCACTCTCTCAACAAGCTAATCTTGACAGTGCCAAAAAGTGCTTTAAGGAAGCATTAGAATTAGATGTAAAATGTTATGAGGTTGGTAGTCGTGAAAAATGTATTTACAATTGGAATTAATTTGAGTGTAGATTTATTTGTTATTTTATTATGGAATTAATTAAAAATAGGCATTTCATGAATTAGTAAGTAATCATATGATGACGGTTAAAGAAGGTATTTAGCAATTATTTTTGAATGAATTTCGTTCTATCTATATTATGTTTTTAATTACTTTTTATTGACTGTAAAATAGAATGGGACTTCATTAATTCATTAAAATATGAAGAACAACTGGATTGTGAGGAAGCAAGATTCGTAAGAATGAACTATATATCAATGCTTCAAAAGGTATTACAGGATCGTATTTCAATAATCATATTTTTTACATATTTCAGACCTAAAAATTAATTAACATATTAATGTATTATTATACAGTATGATCATGTTACGGAAATTCAGGAGGCGCGAGCTGAATTAGAGGAAGTATGGCGATTATCAAATAATATTGATGTATTATTAAGTCGCGCAGAAGAATTATATTCACAATGTAGATTCAAGGAATGCCTTGAAATTACTTCAAAAATTCTTGAACTCGACACTCACAATCCAGCTTGTCTTCCAATTCATATTGTTTGTCTTCATGAATTACGAGAAAAAAATAAATTGTTTTTATTAGCTCACGAACTCGTAGAACATTCCCCAGATATTCCCGTAACATGGTTTGGAGTTGGATGTTATTATTATCTTATAGGACAGAATGATGAATCTAGGAGATATTTTAGGTATTTGCAAAAAAAAATATGTTGCCTCTTATATCTTAGTGTGATTTAACACGTCTGTTATAGCAAGGCATCGACTATGGATTCTCATTATGGGCCAGCATGGATAGGATTTGGTCATTCGTTCGCTGTAGAATCTGAACATGACCAAGCCATAACGGCGTACTCTACAGCAGCAAAATTATATGAAGGGTATTATGTTTTTAATTTTAATTCGACTTTTTTGCTATAATTTTTGAAGCATGATTAGAAGAAATAAAAATTTCTTTCTTTTCATTATCTCAGTTCGCATATCCCATATCTTTTTATCGGCATGCAGCATCTTCAAGCAAATAATCTTTTATCGGCGGATGAATATTTGTCAACTAGCCTTCAGCTTTGCGAAGGGGATCCTTTAGTTTATAATGAATTGGGCGTAATGTATTATCAAAAATTAAACAATGCAACTGCTATCGATTATTTTAAAAGGGCTTTAATATTAGTAGAAGAGACAAAATGTAGACCACAAGTATGGGAAACTACGTGGATGAACCTTGGACATGCGTTCAGAAAGATGGGGTAATTTTTTCGTTTTAATATTATAGCACTTTCGAATTGAAAACATATCATATCAAAATGTTTTTATTAGAGATTTGGACGCCGCAATTACGTACTTTCAGAAAGTTACGACCATGACTCCGCCAAGCCCAAGCGCGTTAACGGCCATCGGATATTGTTATCACGTGAAAGAAGAGTACGAAGAAGCGGTTATGTATTATCACGAGGTTTTATTATTTTTTCATTTAGTCATATCCCCATTTACAATAAAGGTCAAATATTTACTATTATTTATAATTTAATATTACGTGATAAAATAATAGTCGTTAGGAATTCGTCCGGCTGATCCCATAACACAAGATTTACTTGAACGTTGTCTTGAAGAGATGATACTTCTCGTAAATGAAGAAAAAGAAAATGAGAGAGTATAGTGTATTGAATAATTGAAAAAAACAATTATGTGATTTCTATAATATTCATTTATATATAAAGAGATTTTTTATCGAAAATCATCACAATAGCTTACTCTATAAATTTATGGTACATTGAAAAAATTGCTTAAAGAAATATCTTCACTTGATACAAAGCATAGTTACAAATACTAGAAGGCTTTTTGAATTATATCAGGTAGCTGATTCGTTTCTTTAATCAATCATCAAGAAAAAATTAAATTACATTATAATAGATCTAAATATTCGAATTATCTAAGTCCTTTAAGTCTCCATCCTTGCACATCACTTAGAGCTTTTTGACCTGAGAGAAATGCCAAAATACTTAATCCAGATAACCATGATAATGTTTGAAATATGTTTAAATGTGTCCAATAATTATAAAATAAGATTTCAATAGCCAATAATGTAAACAAGAAACTAATTATAACTGGAAGTGAGCCAGGTTCACTTGTCAAGAATGAAATATTGACACCAAGATGTATCCACTGTTTTTTTTGATAAAAAGAATAAGATTAATGATTATTTATAAATAAATCGAAATCAAAAAGTTTTTAAATAATAAATACATACCGCTCCAATTAAGAATAACCAGGGCAATAATACGATTATCACAAAACTATATGATATAATTGTTGGAGGTAACTTTTGATCAGGTCTAAAAATGTGGTGAATTTCGGGTTTTGGACCATATTTAATGAGAACAGGGGATAAATATGGAACATCAATATTAACAGTTCCAATTTGATAATTAATTGGGTTATTATGAGAAAAAGTTCCAATTATAAGATTAAGAGAATAATTTCCTAAAAAAAGATTTTCGGGTATATCTAACATATTTAACTCAGCGCGAGCTTTGCCATTATCTCTTACTGTTACAATTATTGGTATTTGATTTTCTGTTTGTTTAGAACTTAAAATAATCATCGATTGATGAGGTTGAATTCCTTTTTTGGTCTCTTTGTCACGAAGGGAGAAAATAATTTTTAAATTATCTCCGTGAGATAATTCAATCGGTTTATCAAGTGAAGATGGATATTCAACACTTTCAAATATTAGTCACGTAAAAAAAAGAGGTTAATTTTGGAAAAAAATAATAACGTTTTAAAGCAAGAAAAAAAAAATCAGTTACCTTTCAGTTAGTTTTCTAACGGAGTCAGACGTTGTAACTGCTAATTTCAAATCAGTTATAACAAAACTACGCTCGCTAGATTCTTGTGCTGATATTATTGTACATAATAGCAACACGAAAAATTGCCATGATAATAATACGATGTATACAAAAGAACGTCTCATTTTTTTATTTTTTTTATCGTTATAAACCAGAGAGAAGTTGGTTGAATTTTTAAATAATCTAATTATGACTTTTCACGTACTTGGTGATAATTGGTTATAGTTTAATTTAGGTATAAATCACGTGAAAATACAGATAATTTGTCAGATCATGTTCAAATGGCTTGCTTTTTGTGTTTTTGTTTTCTTACGATTTCTGACTTGTACTGTTCATAATCAGTACCAGATTTAAACAAATAATTTCAATTATGGCAACTACATTATTCCCTATTGAGCCTGTATATAACTTTTCGTATTCTCCATTTGACGATCTTTCAAACAATGTTTTTAAAGAAAAGTCTGAACAAAAGTACCGATCGGTGATCGTGACTTTATTTAGTGACAAGAAAACGATGTGCTTGACTTTTCCAACAGATGCTCACATAACTATATTCGATATAAAACAAGTCGTATATAAACGACTCTTGCTTGAACCTAAGGATCAATATCTTTATACAACATCCGGAAAGTTATTAAACGATCATGCTCCTATTTTCGAAAATGAGGAGTTTGTAAACGTTAACCTTAGAATTCGCATTCTTGGTGGAAAAGGAGGTTTTGGTTCTATGTTAAGAGCACAAGGAGGTAAGATGGCAAGCCAAAAAACTACTAACTTTGAAGCATGTCGTGATTTGAATGGACGTAGATTAAGAACCGTTAATGAGGCTAGAAGGTACTTTATTTATTACAACTCATATTATTACCAATTCTTTTTTTTTAAAAAAAAAAACTTATTACCAAATTCTGATTTTTCATATAGATTGGCTGACCATCTTGAGCAAGAGCCAGAACGTCAACGTGCTCAAAGGGAAAAAGTAAAAAAGAAAATTGAAGAAGGTTTGCGTGAACCTTCAACAAAAAAGCATCGTTTTGATGACACTGCTTACTTAAAGGCTAGCGAAGAAATGAAGGAGAAGGTACAAAACACAGTTGCCGAAGGTATATTATATTATTCATTTTAAATCAATCTCTATTTTATATAAAGATAGTTTACTAATAAATTTATGCTTTATATATCAGCTCTCCAAAAGCCAGGTATAAATAAAAAAAATGATGCTTCTATAGGCTCTTCAAAAAATACCATTGCTTCATTGTCAATGTGGTAAGCGTCTAAATGTTATTTTTTATGCATTAGCTTTATTTTATACTCATTTTACTTTTTTTTATATTATAGGGACGTTGAAATAAGCGATTCCGATAGTGGAGGTTCCGATGATAATGATACAGAGGTTGAGGACAACTTAGAAGATACCGCAAGTAAGAAGAAAGAAAAAGGAAAAGAAAAAGACAAAGACACGAAGAAGAGAAAGTTATCAGAAATCTAAAATAAAATTCAAAAACAACCATAAATAAATTATTGCGGTTAAAAATTATATCTATTACATCTATATAACACAATACATAAGTATAATTTCGCATACGTAATTATAAATTGAATAGAATTTAATTATATTAACATTAACCAAAAAAAAAAAATATTCAGGGAACAGAATAATAACCAGTTTAGTATATAGTTTAACGCTATAAGTGGTGTATCACTTCATTAATAACTATCAATTTTTTTGAGGTAACCCATCTTTATCAGTTTTGCAATTATTGAATCTGCTTCTCTAACCATAGTTTGACTTCCTTTGAGCAATTCGATAATACCATTCTTGGTCACCACTTCTCCGACATTTTCAATCACCCGAACGACCACATAAGGCCTTTTAGGAGCATGTAATTCATTGGATATGTAAAGAGATTCTGGACATTTACTTTTATAATCTTGAATAAGTTGCTCATATTTTTTATAAAATGATTGTTCCCGATCAGATAATCTATTTAATTCATTTTGAGTTAAACGCGTTTCTCTACTTGCAGCATCTTTGTTTTTTTGAATTCTTTGAAAGTGATATAATTGAATTACATTCAATTTTTTTTTTTGAATAGTATTATAAACATATTTTTTTTCCTGATTCAAATATTCATTATTATCGTTAACCACTTCAGTTACTTGCTTTAAAAGATTGATTTCTTCACATAATCCTTGGACTTTGTCCCTTTCATAGAACAATGTGCTCTTAGTTTCTCTTGTTCTTTTTGTGGTGTCAATCAAAGGACGAACCACAGAGTTCGTGTACATTGCGAATTAGAATAGTTAATAGCTTTAATGTAAAAAGACGCGTAAAAAGAAATTTCTATTTTATTCAAAAATTTCACGCTCACGTGACCATCGATGAATTTTTTATTGGCTCAATCGAGTTTAAAGCATTGTATTTCAATATTTCAATAGTGATCATCCGTTTCTTAAAAGTTTGAAACCGATGAATAAAATTATATTGTTTCTGACTATCCTTCCAGAACCGATGTCCTGTCTTCCAAATCCTCAAGGATGGCGCGCAATTTTTTATCACTTAAAAAAAAATTCCTGATTTTCCTTTTACAGCAATTGAAACTCTATTGACTTTTGTACATGTTTAATAATGATTAAGGAACAATATTAGGTGAATAATATAAAGTGCAACAATTTTCAAATCGTTTTAAAAAACGTTTTATATCAACCTATTATCATTATTATTGTCTCAAAGATCTACAGTCAAAAGGGGCAAAAGAAAAGTATCAAATACATGTTACAACGCGAAATAATATACAATGAGATTCTTTATTAATTGTGAAATGAGACATGGAAAATCTATCGTACATGCAGTTATTGGTACATCAAGGTTTTTGACTGTAGTCCATCCAAAAAATGAGTGAGTGCATATAAAATTTATCGCCGTTTTCAAAATGATGTATTCAGTTAAATTGAATAAAAAAAAAGAAACCCGAAAACCGGACGAAAACCGGGCGAATATTGGTATTCGAATATACAATCACAAATAAATTGCGTACACTATTTTGAAAACGGCGATAAAATGTAGGTATAATATTTTTTTTTTAATTTTTTACAATTTATATCAATTTATATTTTCATTTTGTAATACGATAAAATAGTTAATCCTATTATCAAACCCTTTTGGTTGATTTTTCTCTTTATTATAATTTACATCCACTTTTTTTTAAGGAAAAATCTATAAAGTATTATAAAGTCAGAAAGAAATAATTTTAAACATGAATTACATAATATCTTCACGCTGAATACAAATTTTTTTAAACCGAATGGCGAATAATTAATTTAGTTATACAGTATAAGAAGGAGGTGAAGATTTTTCAGAACCTCTACCAATTACTCGTTTATTTTTTAAGGATTTACCACCGAAAGTACCACATAACATATAAATTATTCCAATTATAAATACAAACCAACCAGGCACAACAATAAAAATGAATAAACTTTGACCCAAAAAATTTTGACTATTTATTCCACTATCATATCCAAGAATAAGTGAGCCCATTGAAATTTGTAAGAAACCGAAGAAAGTCCATGAGTCCAACATTGGGAACCAAGCGAAAATTCGTTTTGGCCATCCCAATTCTGTGAATATTAAGATCAATGCTTCTATAGCAATAAAGCATCGAACGAAAAATTGGAATATTGTATTACTTCGGCCCAAGCCATGAAATCCTTTTACATTTACTATTATACATGTTGCTATTACTAGCATCAATGAGAAGATTGAGAGCACGCGCAGCGTGTTTAATAAGATCCACGAAGTATTAACCATTTTTATTTTATTGATGGAAGTTGAGAAAGAAAGATTTTTTAATTAATTTGAAAGGTAAAGGGATTTTATTAAAAAGAATGAAAAGTGGGATGCTTTATTTCAAAAGAGAAAAATCCACCAGGGATTAAATTATTTGGATAGGATTAATTATGACTTTTTTTTTTTTTTCAAAAGTGAGGAAATCTGCTTCCCACGAATTAACATTCATTTTATATCATTCGATAGACAAAGTAATTATATCTATCATATTGTTTCTTTATTAGTTTTAATAAAGAAGAGTTTTAACAATAAGGAAACCGTGTGTTACTATTTGTTGCTTGAAATGGCGTTCAAAAATGATTGCAAGTGAGATAAGTTACGATCTTACAAGGAGAATAAGGTTTCATAAATGTATTTATTTCTTTGTTAAGGTAATTAGTTTTTTAACATGTTTCGTTGTCCATTTATTATTTAAGACTATGTATAGGAAACAAGGAAACGTGGTGATCGGCGTTCTTATATTGTTTAATTTGATTGGTAATTTTAGCACCACACGGCTGGAACAATGCCCTTAAATTAATTTCGGATTTGCCAATCGAATATAAAACCACTTGCTAATGATCTACACCGATTTAACATGTACACAGTTTAATGTATTTTTAGTCAAAGAATTCAAATAATTTCAGATATAATTTCGTCTATTAAGTAAATTTAAAACCATCTATAGACATGAATGAAAATGAATTGTGTTACCCTCGCTTGGGTACTGTGACAAGTAGTGGATAGGTGAACAGACCTCGTATTAAAATTTTTAAACAATCGTTCTTTAGTAACAAAGAAAAAAATTCAAAAAAGTAAATTATTTAATAAAATTTATTTATTTATTTATTCATTCGTAAGCGTAAGATTAATGAATAATTTTAGTATTAATCAAATGATATGAGTTATTTAAAGTTAAATTATTGCAAATATCTTTTATGTCAAACGGCATTGTTTTCTTTTTTAATATTGTTGTTCAACATTCTTAATTTAGTAATTATTATTGAATTTTTAGCTTTACACTATTTATTTTGTAAGTCATTATTAACTATCATAATATTTTGATAGTTTTATCAGTTTACAAAATATGAAGTAATATTAATTACACCAAAATAAAAATCGAACTCCATTGTAAAAATTTAAATATAATTAATAAAGTTGAACCAAAGGCAAATATTAAATATAGATTTATTTATTTTATTTTATATACTGTAAAATATAATTATTTAATGTGAATATTATGTGAATATACAGTCAGCGGAAATGTCACAACACTTGCAGATCATTAGTAAATTATTTTGTAACATAATAATTTTAAACTAACTATTTAATCGATCGTAAGTCATAAGTTATTTAATTCTATTACTTATTTATATAATATTTACATACACTAACTATTATACATATACTAATTACTAAATATTCTCAATATTAATATAATATATTAAAATTAAAATTTTTTTCTTTAATGATTATTAAGACTAAATACTATATATTTTTTTAAAAAATTATATTATTAAAAAAAAGAATTATTATTAATTAAAAAACACTTATTTTTTACCTTTATGTCACTGATCTATGTTAAAAATTTAAAATAATTATACAAATATTTTTATTTTTTTATGCTTTTTCACAAAACTTATTTGAAGAAATTATTTTAATGATATAGATTTTATTTTTGACTGCCATTAAGGCTAATTTCTAGTGTTTGGCCAGAATTAAGAAATTGTTTATTTAATAAATATGCCTAACTATTAAAACTAAAATTATATTAAAATAAAAGATACATATAAAATATTTAAAATAAAGCAAAAAAAATGAGTTTTTTTTTATGTCTATTAATTTACTATATAAAAATAAGGGTATTGCTAAATATTACAGGTGGTAAAATTATAATATAATGCCGGCCAGTATTTTATTAGATTTTTAATTCTAGTTGAAAGTACATTATAATGCTAGTATGGTGATCAATACTGCTAGTGAACTTTAGCAATTTTCTAAAAATAAAAAAAGAATTGACAATATTTAAGTTGATTGAACTGGTTAAACTGAAATTTCAATTTTTAAAGAGTGTAAAAATATTTTTAAGAACTTAATAAATATCAAAATATATACTTGTTATGTTGTATAATATATATATATTATCTTTAACCTGAAATTTTTGTTTTTTAATTTCAAAATTTTGGACTGAGATATTATTCTAATTATAATATAAACAATAAAATTTAATTGTTTATTTTATAAAATCATAGTACCAAAAATTTTTCTAAAAATTTTGTGATATTTCTATAGACTAATATACATTAAATTAAAAAAGTAATAAATTATTTTTTTTATATAAAATTTAGTTTAAATATTAAAAAAAATTTTACTTGGTATAGTAATAAGGTGATATAATTATATAAAGTAGTAAAAATAATTTTCATATTCCAGTTGGATTAGTTTTTATTAATTGTTTATAAGTTAAAAAAAATTTTTTTTATATTATTATTATATCAGGTAAAAATTTTTTAAAAATTAAAAAAAAAATTTTATATATAAAATTTTTGAAAAAAAAATTAACTATGTTATTAATAAAATTTTTATATTATAAAAATCATAAAATTAATTTATATGGTCTAATATATAAATTTTTTTTAAATTTAATATTTAATGAAAACTAATTTGAAAAAATAAATAAAATATAAAATAAAATTAAAGTTTTTAAATAAGAATAATATTAAAATAATTTAAATAATATATAATAATTATTTGATAGGAGATTAGAATATTACTGAACTGCGAAACTGTGTTATTCTGCAATCACCAATGATTATTTTATAAATACAATAAATTATTAATTAAACAATGTTAAAAATATCAATAATAATTATACAATGGTAGTTTATTTATAACTTAATAAAAAAATATCAGCATGATGAAAAAAGTATAATTCTATTTGGCTATAAAATAACATAAAATAATAATTCTTTTAATAATATTTTAATGATTAATTTATAGATAACAGATATTATAATAACTAAGGGAAACTCTTTCTGCTAAACGTCTGGACCATATTTTTTCGATAACAAAAATATTTTTTCTTTACTTCGCTTATAGTCAATACACTTTTATTTTATTTCATATACTTCAAATAACTACTTAACAGCAAAAAACCTACCGTGGTATTAGAAATTTTCTTTTATTTTTTTATTTTTCCTATTCTTTATGCGTTTTCCCTCTCTTTGTGGTGTTTCTAGACTAAGATGGTTTGGAGAGGCGTATCACCCAGAATAAGCAAGCTTAGGACGACAATAAAATGTGGACAGTTTTAAGCTACCCTTTTTAAGCAGAATAATGAAACCTTGGATATGGAAAGAGCAACTAACGACCTCCTTAACAATAAAGACTTTGTGGATTTTCTCCACAACAACTTTCTATATACCAATAGATCCTCTTTCTTCAAGATACTGGAACAAGCTATCAAGAAGCATGAGACAGCTCCACAACGACTTAAGCACCATACACAAGACTATCTCTGGAAGACTTTAACTAGCCTACTTGAACGATATGATCAATATACACCTCTACCTTCTTCTACACCTTTTTTGACACCCACTGTTTATAAACACCTGCTGGCGTTTCCTATTCGTCAAGTCACTAGACTCCCGATTAGGTCACCATCAAATAAATTTTGGATTAGATCGCGTCATAAACTAGACGCGTTTCTGGATATCTTCTGCAACTTACTGGCCCACCTACAAATAACAACAAATGATTTGAAAGACAACTTCCATTTTGGGAAAACTTACGGAACGGACAACTGCTTTTGAAATTTTACCAGCTTTTTCAGTGTAACGTTCAGTCCATATTTTTACCAATATTGTAGAACTAACCAAATTTGGTTTCTCTTTAAACAACCCTCGATAAAAGTTTTGGATCTCATTTTTGACTGTGCCTACACACCTCGAAGGAAAAAAGATAGAGACAAAAATTGGCTTTATAAATCCCAGAATTATTTTTTCTTTTTATTTTTTTCTTTTTTTTTCTTTTGTTTACCAATATTTTTAGTTTATCTTTTAGAAATAGTATTTGTTTTAGTTTCGTTTTAAAATATTTTAAATTGGATAGAGCTTACTTGAGTTGGTTGATTGTAGTCAATATTGATGGGCAGATAACAGTGTTCAAGAACATATGCCGTGATATTGGACATTTGATGTTAAAGTCCGCCTTTATATACAACAAACAACTTTCTACCAGTAAATGGGGTCTCACACTAGCTGGTCTAAAGAATTGGAAATGTTTCGTATTTGTTACAGCTGGTCAGTTCTGGTTTAATTGTGTGTACCTTGGACCCTATGACTTGGATAATGGATACCACTCCTTCTCAATTTCCTTAGGTCACTTTTGGAAGGAACGATCTAGAAGTTTTTTATTTTACTCACTTTCTCACTTACACTTTATAGATCTTTTTTTCTTTTTTTTATTTGCAATGTAGTGAGTCCTGTAAATGCCTTGTGAAGAAAAAGGAGCATTTATGCTAAGAATGGCTGTTTCAAAACGAATCATACCCTCTGAGCAAAAATTTCACCTGACAGTGCACACGTGGGGTGTTTTCATGTATGACGAGTGGTTTAGTAGTTAATAATATTAGATAATTTAGATTTAGTTTTTGTTATAATAATAAATTATAATTTATACTTTAAAAAAAAAATACTCTTTTATCAAGAAGTGTTCAAATGTTTTTTAATTTTTTATTATATATTACTTAATTATTTTAATAGATTTATAAATGTGCTGCAATTAAAAAAAAGAAGTACCATATATTGCAGGCTATAATACCTTAAGTATTTTGCAAATATTGGGAATTTGACTCTGTACTTTTAGGAACAGGGTGGACATCCTCATATTATCATGATATTGCCGATCATTTTGCTGATCATTTGTCCAATATTGTCACAAAAAAAATACTGTGGAGTTTATTTTTTTTACAAACTTTACATAATAATGTATAAAATTTTGATTTTATTTACTTTATTTATATACTATTAATAAATTAATTCATAAAATAGTTCATAAAAATTTTACCAAATATTAGCCTTATATCAATCTTACAATAATTGCAAGCATGTATTTAATGATAACTTCTTGATTATCAAAAATTATTCATATTTATTTTAGCCATAGATTCTTAAATACCTAAATAATATACTATAAAAGTTTCAAGTTTCACCCAAACATCTGTGGCTTTGCCTGAAGCTTTAAAGTCAAATTAGCAGATGATCGGCATATGATTGGCTAATACTATAATTATTAAAAATTTCGGCTTAAAAATTCTGTTTTTTGTAAATATCTTATGATCTACCAGTCCAATTTGAGTAGTCTTTTTTTTATTTTAAAAAGCTTAATAAGAGCTATCAAACAAAAGAAGGTGGCTCAAATCTGATTACTGGATCACAAGATAAATGTAAAATACCTCAGGTATTATACAATTCTATGAAATTTTTCAAGAAGAGTACTATATATAAGGGGTATTATGGCTCATAATATATGGAATACAGTATTCAAATTAAAAATTTAATTATACAATAAGTGTTTACAGGTTTTCAAAAAGTAAATTTTTTATACTAATCATTTAATATTAAGTAGAATTAAATTTAATGAAAAACAGAAAAAGAAAAAGAATCTATTAAATAAATCAAAATTGATATTCAAAATTAATTTTGATGCTTTAAGTAAATTTGCAGAATAGATAAAAATACATATATCACATGTTTCATTTAAAATTATATTTATTAAAATTTTTTTTTTTACATAACTTTTTAATAAAATCACATGATACATGTATGAATATTAACTAAAAATCTTAATTCTAGCTAAGTTATAACTTCATTCAGTACTGGTAGTAGCGTAGTTTTCCTACCAGTATAGTTTAGTTTGAAGGGTGAGGTCTTGCATAACTGCTTAGTCTACTTTGTGGGATTAAATTCGCAATTCTAATAACCTGAATAGTCCCTGTATTCCTTTATGTATATATACTATTAATGTTATAGATACCGATAACTACTCTTCTAGAAATAAAATAAAATAAGTTATAACTTCAGCCAGAATTATAGAAAAGTATTAATTTCTATCCAATTATAAGTCAATACTAATTTCAATTATGTGATTTTTAAAATTTTTTAATTTGAAATAATTTGTAATTTAACTAATTTTATTATTTTTTTTAATATGGAATAAAAGATTTTTATTTATATATAAATACTACTGGTATTTATTGAAGGTAAGAATACCTTCAAGAGAATTGCTCAAAGGAATAATGTTTGTATTATAAGGATCCAATTATTAATTAGTAAATTTTTAACTATACTTGGTATAAATATTATCTTATATTAAAATATATAAATATAAATTATCCTATGTTAAATAATGTACAATTGCCCACATACTAAATAAAGTAAAAATAACTCCCGCTATAAATATCCACTTGTCTTGAGCAAAACGTCGTTCAATATATTGAATAACATTCCGAGATAATCCAAGTGTATTTGCTGCATCAAGCATTTTCCTTTGAGCATTCTATAAAATTGAAACTTAATGTAAGATATTTTAGCAAGAAATATAAGTAAAATATGCAAATAACCTTACCTTCAAAGTATTATTTTGATCATATATATTATTAAGAACTTCCCTTCCACGCATTATATACTCATCGAGTGCTGAATCTGTTTCTTTTAAAAAATCATGTTCTCGTAATGCATGTTGTTCTCTCGAATATTCATGTTGTTGAAAAGGGGATTCTGGCTTTTTTTTATAAACCAACAAATTTAATTAAATGGAATTGACTAAATAAAATTAAATAATCTCAAAAAATACCGTGGATGTATTATGTCTTCGTCCCAATAACTCTGCCCTATTATTTTGAATGGTCTAATTTCACAGATAATTAAATCAATATTTGTTTCTTATGTAATTTTTTAATTCAAAAAAATACCTTATTGGACTCTTTTTGTTTTAATCGTTCAAATTGACTTTTGAATTCATTATAATCATCCCTTAATTTACTTATATTACTATAATAAAAATTACAGAAATTAATTAAAAAAAACTTAAAAATATAACTTGTGAATACGCAATATTATTATTTATAATAAATTAAATATATTACGCAAAAGCTTTTTCTTGCTTAACAAGAATCATTTCTCTTTTAGCAAGTCCATCATAATCATCTATTGTTCGTTTTAATGCTGTAAGACTTGCCGATATTTGTCCTAATTAAAAACGTTCAGAATAAATAAAAAACAAGTTAAACTTATTAATAAAAAACGTATATACCTTGTATACCAACAGAAACATCCTCTCCATTTTCAAATTTTTCTAAGTCCTGTGTTAAGCTTTGCTCTTGTTTTAAAGCATGTTTGTATAAATTATTCATGATTTATCGATTGATTCGTGTTCTAAATTAGACGGTTTATATATTGGGAAGAGCGGTCGTGAAATCTGCCACCGTTTACGCTGCTATTTGTTCGGAAATTTTTTAGGTCATCAGTGATTATCCGCGGAACGTTCACCATATGATCTTTGATCCTTCACGATAAAATTTTTTTTCCTCCTCTTGCATCTTGCCTCTCTAGATATCTACTACAGTATATCGCTCAGGCATTCCATAACGGACAATGGCTCAAATTTCAAAGAAAAGAAAAGTGAAGTAATTTTTTTGATATTCTAGTATGAATTTAGGATAAATATCGATAAGATTTTATTACAGATATTTTAAAGATATTGCTTTTATAGAGTATCTCACTTTATATTTTGGTATGATGATATTTATATCTGGCACCTCTTGTTTGAATACCTTATTTACCCAAGGTATAATGTACGGATTAAAAAGATTACCTGATCCAGATGAATTGAGATGCCCTATAATATATATATATATTTTTTTATTATTTCCTTAATGTTTAAGTTGGGGAAAAATCAAAAAAAAAAAAAATTTTTTTTTTTCATTAATTTATTATTCAAAACATTGTCCAGCATAACAAAACACCAATTCAATCAATTAATATTTGTTTAATTTATAATTTTTCGCGTAAATCTAAAATCAAATAGTTTGTTGCTGATGGTGTTTTCTTTGCCGAACTCAACGAATTTTTTACACGTGAGTTGGCCGAAGAAGGTTATTCTGGTGTGGAAGTCCGTGTAACACCAGCTCGTACGGAAATTATAATCCGGGCTACCCACACCCAAGAAGTCCTTGGTGAAAAAGGACGTAGAATTCGGGAATTAACTGCCCTTATTCAAAAAAGATTTAAATTTCCTGAAAATACTGTTGAATTATACGCTGAGAAAGTACAAAACCGTGGACTTTGTGCTATTGCTCAATGTGAGTCTCTTCGGTACAAATTATTGGCGGGTCTTGCTGTAAGAAGGTAAATATATTAAAAATATATTTAGAAAATTATAAACTTTTCTGAATTATATTCTTTATATATAGAGCTTGTTATGGCGTTTTACGTTTTATTATGGAATCAGGCGCAAAAGGGTGTGAAGTGGTTGTATCTGGAAAATTACGTGCGGCCCGTGCTAAATCTATGAAATTTGTTGATGGGTTCATGATCCATTCCGGTCAGCCAATCCGTGATTATGTGGACACTGCTATCCGACACGTTATGTTAAGGCAAGGTGTTCTGGGTATTAAGGTCAAGATCATGAAGGTACGTGATCTGCAGATTTTATTACAAATTTTGTCGTATAAAGTAACGCTGAAAGTTTCTATTTTAGGACCAAGATCCAAGTGGTAGAGCTGGTCCAAAGAACCCTCTACCCGATATGGTTCACATCTCGGTATGACAATTTATTGGTTAATTTATGTTTAGTTGATTTTTTCTATCACTTTCAAATATTTAATCCCGTTTAAAATAGGATGCCAAGGAAGAACAACAAATTACACAGCCAATCTCCGAGGACTTTCAAAAACATATAACAGAGACTCCTGTTGCTCCCTCAACTCCTCCTGCTACAGAATATACTGAAAATTTCACATCTACCTTTGAATAATTTATAACATTAAAAATAATACATTTAAATGCTTTTGATTAATTTTTATCTTGAAAAATAAATTCTAAAAATGGAATTTGTATAATTTGTATCTGGATACTATTAGTTATAATTATTATTAAGTTTTTGAAAAACAATAAAAAGTTGTATAACTACTATATCTGCCTATTGCTATGATTTCGTGTTAGTTTTCAGTAATTTGAAAGCAGAAAAACCAATAGATTTGCTTAAGTAAATTCCAGAGTTAACAGTTTTGGTAGGTTTGCATTCTGAAATAATTTTGCAAACCTTTCCAAATATATCTACCAAAACAAAAGTTTTGGCAAATATTTTATAGTTTATTATACAATCATAAAATCATAAACCAGAGCTTAAGCATGGGATATATTATAATACAATCATAATTTACTTATAATAAATTTAGACTAGATTTTTTTGAAAATTTTTACTGATGGGATGATGAGTTTAGATTTTCTGTATTATTAAATAGTACATTTACGGGAAGTATAAATTAATTATTTATAGTTATTTTAATTATGATTTTTATCTCAAATTTATTTTATTAAAGAAATTTAGCAGAACATCCTGTATCTAAAGTAACTGTATAGATAATAAATAAAGAATAGTGTTTATTTCTGTGAACTTCTATTAAATAAGTAAAAAAGAAAGTATTTGCTAGATCATTTAAATTGTGATATGACGAATTTGACGATAATTTTTTCTTAAATGAATAAATAGGTAAAATCTTTAATCGACATATTTGTTACATTTAACATTTATGATTTCTCTATTATCATTCCATATTAATGCACTTAATTCCCCACCGTATACGCATCCAGAATCAAGTCCGAAACTATAAGGTTTTATTTTCAATCTCCTCGAGGCATCATGACCATAAATTATCGTTTTAGGAGAAGAAGATTCCTGCTGTGCTGCGTTCCAATGTTTACTCCAAGCATGACCTACATCTTTTTTACTTGTGGGTTTACCATTCTTAATATTACGCTAAAAAAAAAAGGAAATCCATATTAAAGGTGTGTATTACTTTTTTTAATAAATAGTAATAATAACGTGAATGGTACCATGCTCATTATGTCAGAAGGATCTTGTTCAAATAATGGTACATCCGGTAATAAACCAGCGTGAACTACATATAAATCATATTCCGGAATGTCCAAAATAATAGGGCAAGAAAGAAGATAATTGTAAAGCTCCACGTCAAGTTCTCTATAAGAAAAAAATCAATTAAAATAGAGTATAATACATAAACAAAATTTTAGAGGTTAATTTATCGAATGACCAACTTTGCTAATAATCCGTGTTCAGATTTTACGATATCTTTAGGTATATCATGTTCCTTAATAAATTCATCTAATGGGATTTTTTGGGAATCTAAAAAATCTAAAATGTTTTTTATCTGTAAAACTTTATCATCATGATTTCCACGTACACAACTAGCACCCAATGAACGGATTAATTGAACAACTTCAATGGATTTTGGTCCTTTTGCTACTATATCACCTACAAAAATTAAATGATCTTTTAAAGGATCATAATTAATTTTATTTATTAAATTTAATAGTTCATCATACGATCCGTGAACATCCCCAATAAAAATCAAATTTTTTTGGGAGAGGGGAGCTTCAAGTTTATTAATTAAAGTGTAATTTAATGGTTTAAAATTATGTGTATTAATAGAATAATTATTTCCTAAAAATAAAACGCAAAGTGTTAATGGAAGGATTAATATTAATAATGTAAGTTTAACACTTCGTAAATCACAAAAGCGTGTTTTATTATTATTTAATCTTTGGTAGTTAACACCTTTCATTGCGTTTTTTTTTGTGGAAAAAAAAAGAATGATGATCAGTTTATATACTGAATAGAATGAATAGAATTAAAAATTTCATGGCGTAAACATACGCCATCAAAAAACGTTAGCAAAAAAAGGAAATAAATAATTTAGGAATGCCTTATGGCGCAAAAAAAAAGAAAAAACACAAAATAAATAACGTATGAATGCCTTCTGCCAGAATCGAACTGACGACCTTCTGCTTACTAGGCAGACGCTCTGCCAACTGAGCCAAGAAGGCAATTATTGGTTTCACTTCAAAATATATTTATTTGATAAAATTAAGGTACTTATCCAAATTTTTCATTCACGTCAACAACTTTTACATTATATAATACATATACAATATGTAATACAATTTTAAATAAGCAATTAACAAGTAATAACTAATAACTATGACAATGAATTAAACATTTTTAAATATATATTAATAAAAAATTTTTTGTTATAAATTCATACAATCTAATCTAATTTTTTGTAATCGGTTTTTTTTACTGTATAAAATCTTTTTTTGTAATATGTAGAAATTTTTTTTTGCTAATAAAGTTCATTTTTTGAAAGCAATAACTGCATTTGAAAATGTTAGTAAAAAAATTTTTATAATTTTGAAAAAAAACAGTGTAAAGAAAAAATGTTCCCAAATATATATATATATATTCTATAAAAAACCACCAAATTGCTTGAAAAAAAAAAGAAAAAACAAAAAGAAAAAACAAAAAGAAAGGATGTCAAATTGCAACAGACATATTTTAACCATTATTTAACCAATTATTACCATTTTAATCTCTAAATTTCATCCAAATTCTCCATATTCTTAAAATTTTAAAATCATCCAACGATCTAATATCCAAAACCACAATTTTTTTTTTACAAATTTACAAATACAGAGGGGATACACCCACAGATGGGTTATCAAGTCCGCCCATTCCAGTCAATGATGAAGTCATCCCTATGCTAATTACACTACCTGAGTTAACAGTCCCATTTGATCCATTTGATACTGCTGCTGCAGTAGATAACATTGTTGACGTACTATTATCCCATAAACCTGGAACAGAAGAGTTGGTTGAATTATTACTGTTATTAGCCGAGTTATTAGTTACTTCTGTCGTGGTAGAACTTGAACCTATAATATCATTTTTACCACCGTTATCAGTTTCTTTGGCTATATGAGAAGAGGACGATGTTGGATTAACAACGCTACCTAATCCAGATGTTGTTGTAACGGAAACTGAAGAATCGGAAGTTCCATTTACTTGACTATGAATATGAGTATTTATTCCAACAAGTCCACTCCCGATAGCACCGGGATGGTGATGATGATGTGGATGTTGGCCATGAGAATGTTGATGGTGATGATGCTGTTGATGATGATGAGCTGCAGCTGCTGCAGCTACCTGATGATGATGATGAGGGTGATAAGCCGTTGGGATCACCGGATGGCGATGGTGGGGATGAGGATGAAAAAATAATTGGGGGGCTTGACCAAGATGACTAAGATGCAAACTTGCAAAAGTCGAAGTTAAACCATGAATTGCATTATCGTTTCCAGAACCATAATTATTGTTATTGCCATCTGTTGTTCCATTTATTCCATTATGATTTGCAATCCCATTTGTTGTATTTGATGGGAAAGCGCCTACTGCGCCTAAATTTGAAATTGATGATGTGACGGTTGATTGAGGTGAATGGTTTGTTTTTCCGATTGGACCAAATCCTGGAAATTGTGTTGTTGGCGTCGAAATTGGTTGATCTTGGATGATTTGTGATGACTGAGTAGAAGTTTGTTGTGAATTAGTTCCGATCCCATGTATAGAAGCAGCTGAAGAAACAATTGGAATAGGTTGAATAGGTTGAAATGGTGAAGAAGCATTAGTATTTGCATTCGGATGATTATTTAAATGAGCCAAAGGATTGTATGAAACAGGAAACGGAGGACTAGTCAATGAAGGAGTTGTTAGAGGTGGAGAAAAAGGCCCCATATGTGCTGGAGGCATAAAATGATGAGGAATTGGTGGTGGACCTAAATGGAAATTGTGATGAGATATAAGTGGTGGCCTATGATGTGGATGTACAGGAGGTGGTAAATGTGCTGGATGCGGTGGTGGATTATGATGATGCGGCGGTAAAGGTAATGAAAATCTATCAAAATGAACACGTAAAGTTCTTCCTTGAAATTCATAACCGTCATACATCCCTAGTTGATTAATTCATTTCATTTTAAGAAAAAACTTAACTATCAATAAATAAAACAATTAAGAACGACGTGTTTTTTTCTTTCTTACCGACAGCATTTCTGGCATCCTCAGGTGTTGCAAACAGCACCGTACCAAAACCTCTACTTCGTCCATCGAAATTTGTTGAAACATCAGCTCGAATAATATTGCCAGCGTTACGGAAAAGATCTTTTAGGTCTTGCCATTGACAATTAAATGGCAGCTATAAATATAAATTTATTTAAATATTAATATAAGGTCACATTTAATACTATACGAAATCAAAGGATTTCAAACCCACATTCCCAACGAAAAGTAATCTCCCAGCATAATTTGGCTGAGGTGCTTGAACTCTAGGCTGTAATAATATAATAGTAGAAGTACATGTTAATAAAGTGGGTATACTTTACATATGTGTGTATATAATACTTAATCACTTACTCCATAAAAAATACCACCCATCCCCATCAAAGGGCCACCTGGTCCATAAGGATTTTGTGTGTGATTATGGTGCGTAGGATCAATCACCCGACGTGAATGGTCTTGTGGATGATGGTGATGATGGTGATGATGATGATGATGGCCATTACCGTTAATGTTGTTATGGGAATTTGGATCAACGAAACCTCGATCTTCTCGCACTTCCAAGATTCGACCTTGCCAATTCTTTTGATTAAACATAGCTAAATAGATTAAAGAATATAATTGTATAATATTAATACTGTCATAAAAATACAACATAAATAATCAAACAATCATAAAAGTTATACCGATCGCATTTTTTGCTTCTTCGAGGGTGGCGAATAACACTGTTCCGTGGCCTTTAGATCGATTATCATATCCCATTGCAACATCTGCACGTATGACAGTCCCCGCTTCTCTAAACAGATCTTTCAAATCTTGCCATCGTACACGAAAAGGTAACTACGATGGAAAAATACTTAATCCAAATTTATAATAGATAATTCGAGTATATTCATATACTATTACTTACATTCCCAACGAATAATTGTCTTTGTAGAGTCGAAGAGTTATGAGAATTATGAGAGTTATGAGAGTTATGAGAGTTATGATTGGAATAATTATTGGTAAATTCTTCGTTGTATGTTGTTACGCCATTCGTGGTCCCATTAATATTTGTGCCGTTCACATTAAGTATTTCATTATTTTTTGTGATGGAATAATCAACCGGTGTTGGTAGAGTTTGATTTGATGATGTGCCATTTACATCATTTGAATTCGCCGACGTTGACAAGATATTGTTTGAAGTAACTTTATCACTTTCCTATAAATTTAATTTCGTAAAATTATAAATAAAATTTATCCTTTTTTTTTTTAATATAAAAAATTGAAATATTAATTAAAATACCTCATTTTGATTAATATTATTAGCACCCTCTGTACGTGGTGGAGGTGGAGGATAATCCATTGCACTACGGTCCTATGAAATAATAATTTTATAAGTTAATTAGACCAATTACTAATAATTTTTTCAGATATACAATCCACTTACTTCTCTAACTTCTAACTTTCTACCATGCCATTCATATCCATCAAATTCCGCTGTTTATATCATAATAAAATCATAAGGTCAAATATTAATATTTAAGAAATCTCTTTAAAAATTCCGAGCGTAATTCTAATTGTGATCCAATTTATAAACTATTACATTAAATAATATAAAGTAATTTTCTCTAATAAAATTATATATTAGATTATCTTACATATTGCTTTTTGCGCGTCTGCAACTGTCGCATAGAGCACGATACCATGTCCTTTCGAATGACCTTCACGACTTAATATAATATTTGCACGTTGTACACTACCGGCTTTTCTAAATAAATCCTAAAAAAAAATTAATTCATAAATTAATTATTATTTGTTACAAAATAAATAAACAAATAAAATAAAATAAGAAACAAAGGAATTATTGTAAAATTAAATAAAAAGTGATTGTTATTAACCTTTAATTCTTGCCAACTAACTATTTCAGTTAATTTGTAAAATAAACGTAATTTATTAGTCTTGATTTTAAATTACGATAACCAATCAAAATAATTTCATCAAGTCTCATAAATGCATTGTTCGCGTTTTTTTTTTTGTTTCACTAACCTACATATGGAAGCTTCATCCGCAAAATATAAAAATATATTGCCAAAAAGATCATTAAAAAAATATAATTATAATGGTAATTAATGAAAGAAATGTATTATGAGTTCGTAATTTAGTTCGATGTTGATTAAATTCAATTTCAAACAATAATTGATAATTAATATACTCACATTGCCAACAAAAAGTTGTCTGCCTTTGATTGTCATTATTTACAAGAAGAAAAAAATTTTTTTTTAAATAATAATAAAAAAAAATTTCTTGTCCTCTTTTATGTATATAGTATAAATATGTATATAAAAAGGATCGGTATTTTTGTAGAAGAAAAAATTATTGAAAACTAATAAACCACCAAACGAAAAAAGAAAAAAAAAATAATTTTTTAAACTATATAATAATAGAAAGAGTAATATTAACGCGTTACCAAAAAGGCTATAACCCTCCAAATGCAATTATTATCGATTACCAATTGTAATTTTAAGAACCTAGTTAAGGTTACAAGTTTTCGCGAATATTTTACAAAACTAAACGAAACAATAAGGTATGAAGGGAATGATTTACAAGATAAAGGGAAATATTAAAGCGCGACAAAAAGTGTATTAAACCGAATTATTTAGTAATTACAAAAAATATTATCATAAAAAGAGACGACTACAGACGAAATTTTACGTAGGACACAGTCTACGAAGAATTTACACCATTAGTCGGTTAACAAAAGAAAAAAATAATTTTATTAAACTCGTTATCTTTATTTACAAAATAATAGAAGAATAGTACATATACCAGAAATAAACGCACAAGGAAAAAAAAAGAAAAAAATGTCTTCTAAAAAGAATAAATTTCATTTACTTATTAAGTACGCATACACATAGGGTACATACTTGTAGAAAGATCAAAGAACAGGGTCTGTGTGTATATGAACGAGCCAAGAAAAAAAAAACTTTTTTTTTTTAAATACACTGTTCAGAATGAAGAATTAGTTTCGCTTTACCCATCTGCGAAAATAATACATCACTGTACGATGCCATTGGGCGAGTTTTCTGGGCTGTTCTCAGCGGTGTGCGGCTTGACTTTATTGGGTGTGGGCGCGGGGTCCGCACATGCAAGACCTGTGACTTCGTGTGCACAGCATCGATTCGCTACTTCTAATTTGGATAAATTGTTGATTATACCTTCGCTTGAAATTAATGGCTCTTTTTATCAATTCATAAAAATTTTTTTAAAAATTTAGTGCAATATTAATAATACTAATAACATCAATACATTATTATCTTATAATTTATATTTTTCTCTAATCATCGAAATGCAAGCTATAATGAACATTTGGCGATTATAATTATGATCAAACTTGAGAAATTAAAAATCCTCTTGTCCGACAACTTCCAATTCATTTCTTTCTTCGTCAGTGCAATATCCTTCCTGTTCAAGTTGCGCGTATGAATTTTCCGATTTCTCGTTATCATATAACATAGCTATACCTTTATGAGGGGATGGTTGTTGTTGTTCGCATTCTTCACACCAATATTCCCTAAAATTTTCATTAATTCTATTAGTGCGTTAAATAGAACGCGTTCCATGTATTTAACACGCAACTTACACACTCATTGAGTCGTTACGATGTGAATGCCACTCGATAGTACGCGTTTTTTTATTACACGTTTTACAATTACTAATGCATCTTTTTAAAGATGGATCTTGAAAGAGTCTTGGAAGAAATTGACTATCGTGATGATGTCTAAACAAATCAAAGGAGAAATTTTTAAATATTAAAATTTTTACCAAAAAAAAAAAAAAAATTCTACCTTATTTGACGCGTAAAATCACGAGTTTCCACTTTATAATCTTTTTTCTCGGCTTCTTCTATATAATCACAAGTGCGGCAGTTCAAAATAAATTTTGAAGCACTAATATCTTCTATTTTGTCTAAAAGGTTACGACTAATTTTAAATTAATAAAACATGAGTATTATCAGATTGAAATTTTTTTTTTATAAATTGAAATGGAATTATAATACCAAGTGGGACAAAACTTCAAATCTGATCGTTTCATTGTTCGTAAAATACCAGTATTAATTACAGTATTATAGAATAGCTTTCACTTATTTTTTTTTTTTTTGTATTTAATATAAACAGGGAAGAATTTGGATAAACCGAAAAAAAAAAGATTTTTATCAGATTTTTAACGTTGATATCACATCATCAATTAAACTACTACCCATATTATACGTATTATACGTCACAAGAATGTTAAAAATAATAATGTCAGTTTTATGCCTTCATATACTGTCTAGTAAATATTTGGCAAAGGGTTTATTTATTTTTCTATAATAAAAAAAGAATGATCACATATTTTGAAAGGATGACGAAAATATATATATATAAAAGTATTTGATATAAAATATTTGATATAATACAAAGATGCGAGAAGAACATAAAATATGTTTTATTCGTAACTACTATTAAATTCTCCGTGTAAAAAAAAAACTCCATAATCCCATCATAGTAATTAATCCCAAATAAATAATACCATGATGTAAAGTTGTAAAACAACAGTAAGCCAGAAATACCTATAATAATAAAAAAAAAATAATAAACAATCAAATTGTAAAATAAAGAAGTTACTTCACAAATAATTTTAATTCTAATTTTAATCAACTGGATTATGATTACTGGGATTATTATTATTATTATTATTATTATTATTATTATTACTATTATTATTTTCATCTAAATTGAGATCAAATAGCAGTTGATGATCTTGTTCCGTAGGACTAAAGTTCGCATTATAATATGACAAAAAATCATTCCCGATAGAATCATCCTCTAAATCGATCACTTCATCTGGATCAAATCCCATTTGAGATGTTAATGAAGTCAAATAATCAACGTTGGATCCAACTTCATCAATACGAGTTTCAATTTCAGGCAATTCAGAATCCAAGAAATCGGTATTATCACCAATTTCCTCAGTTAATGAGGATAAGGATGGTAGGGATGGTAGGGACGGTAGGGATGGTAGGGATGGTAGGGTATTAGAAATGTCAAACTGATCATTATTAACAGCTAAAGAAGTCAATATGGACAAAGCTGCTATATAATTTGGAAAAATAATTTTATTACTTTATTAAAATTCAAAAAACAGTTACCAATAATTAAAGGTATTATTTATTACCTGGGTTATTAATATCTAATACCAAAGATGAAGAATCGGCTTCATTATCAGGTAAGGTGTTTGTTTGACTATCGTTAGAAATCGTTTTTTGCTCCGAAGATTCCAGTGAGTCAGAATTTTCAAGTAGTAATCTTCGCTTCTTTGGTACAATAGCTCTCTTTTTATCAGCAGAAAACACTGAAGCAAGAAATCGTAAAATTTTATCTATAGTTTCTTGTTGACGCCGATGTCTCTCACGTGCTGAGATAGACTCCTGCCATAAGATTTGATTATCCCTTTGAATATTCTTTAAATCTGCACTTATATTCATCTGATGTTTCTTAATTGAAGCAATTTCATTTAATATGTGATTTATATCCATTTCATTTGGTTCTTTTATATTTTCATTATCTTTCCCTTTCTTGCGAGTAACATAATATAAAAGATCCGGTTGATTACGAAGGAAATTTGTGTTACTGAATTCCCATTGTTCAGACTGTCCGTCAGATTGGAGTACTCCTTGTTGAAGGTGTGGTATTTTATGAAATCCATACATATTTAACTGTCTCACAAAACTGCTAAAATTGTTGTGCTTAAAGAATCGAGGAAGAACTTCTTTTGCAAAGTCTTGAGGTCTTTTAACTTTATTAATAAAATTGTATATTATAAAATAGAAAATTAATAGATTAAATTATCGAGTAATTATTAAATTATTTAACTTACCAAGAAAAGAGTTACCAGTCTCGGACCAGATGATTAAATCATTTGACTGAGGGTCGTTAACCATACTAAAAAGTTATATAAAAGTTGTCCAAGGATAAGGTATATACACGACTGTAAAAGAAAAAAGATAAAGCTCTCCCAAAAAAAAGTCCCAAAAAGTGCCAAAAAGGCCAAAAGTTGGGAGATTACATAGTATCAAATTTCTTACTTGTAAAGTTTATTCAAAAAGGCTGGTACACTTCGATTACCCGTTCTTGCTGGGGCCGGACTATCCGGTGGCGATTGAGAAGCCGGACGTTTTCGTGGGTTTGACGTTTCTGGCTGTGTATGCTGCATTTTTTATCTTGTTGAAAGTTTAGTCAAAGCGATCTAAAAGAGTTAAATTTTTCTTTTGGAGTTGTGAGAAAAATCAAGAATTCATCTCACGTGATTTAATTGTAAACGTTACATTACGTCGTCACTAACGCAGCAATCATTTTTTTTTTATAAAAAAAAAATGTTTCTTTCAAAAAGTCATTTTTTTAAAAATTTTCTATCAAGTTCTAATATATTTTTTTATTCATTATGTTCGAAACGTACATTTATATCAACCAATGCATTATATTCGGGAGGCTTAACTCAAAAAAAAAGGAAACAACGTATAAGAAAAAATTTACCTAGATTTCATGGAAATGAAATTCCAAGTGGTAATTTTAGTGTAGATAAATTCAAGTCAACGCATCATCAAAATATGATACGACGACAAAAGCAACAAACGGCTACAAATAAAAAATATTCAAAGACTTCAACTCCGGTGACAAAAAAAACGCGTGGTTATATTCCAGCAAAATTTAAATTATTACCAATCGAAAGTGACGTAAAATTACATCAGAAAGATGGTTCTTCAATTAAACAAAGAATTTCACAAGAACTGCTAAGTCTCAAAGGAAAATCCAAAAAATTGGATTCTCTTCACCTTGAGTATGCAACTTTCGAATCGATGGATCTAAGACCAGAAGTTTTAGAAGCAATTAAACAAGGACCATTAAAAGAAGTTGACCCTTTACGACCAACAGAAATTCAAGCATTGACCATACCAGAAGTTTTAAAGTCTGAAGGACAACATATTTTGTGCGCAGCTGAAACAGGTAGCGGTAAGACTTTAGCTTACTTATTACCGATCATTAATAAAATTAAAGTTCAAGAGATGAAAGTACCGTCATTTTCTCCTATACCAACTGACAATAAAACCGTAGTATTAGAAGATCAATTAGAAAAAGAAGCAAAGACACAGGCATCATTAAAATCTCCAGTAAGACTATTGAATAGACCTAGAGCTATCGTTCTTTTGCCTTCAAGAGAATTAGTTGAACAAGTTCTCTCTGTTTCCAAACACATGTGTCATTTTGCAAAATTTCGTCCAATAGCAATCACTTCTCACAAAAATCGTCAATTTGTGCGTAAAACGCTTTTAATGCCAACAGATTTAGTTGTAGCAACTCCAGCGGGATTGTTGGATTACATCAAAAACAAACATATATCATTATCAGAAACTCGTTATTTGGTTATAGATGAAGCTGATACTATGTTTTGTAAAGGATTTGATAAAGATGTTACTTCAATTATTAAACAAATTAAAGCTTCAAATGTAACACAAAATAATCGACCATATCAAATTATTGTGGTAACGGCAACATTACCAAAAACTGTTAATGAATTATTAAGTAAAGAGTTACCTTTTATGAAACGTATAACTTCCTATTCCTTACATAAATCTTTACCCAATCTCTCTCACAATTTTATTGATTTAAAAATATTTAATTATAACAAGTATGAGGCCACTATACAAACTTTAAAAGCACATTCCGAATCTGCATCAACAATGATATTTTGTAACAAAAAAAAAACGGCTGAACATTTAGAAAAATATCTTTATTCTAAAAATTTTCCAGCGATAGGATTATATGGAGATATAGATGATAGAACAACTAAATTAGAATCATTCAGAAATCAAGAATCTCACGCTAAAATTCTTGTATGTACTGATATTGCTTCCAGAGGAGTTGATACTACTTTTGTAAATCATGTGATACTATTTGATTTTCCTACAACTATTGTGGATTTTCTTCACAGGGTTGGTAGAACCGCTAGAGCTGGAAAACGCGGTAAAGCAACATATTTTGTTACAAAGAAAGATAGGCAATTAGCAGAAAGGATTAAAAGGAATATAAGAGATAAAAGAGTTTTATCGTAGTTGCGAAAGTAATAAAATATGCATGTTTCAAATTAAAAAAAATATTAGTCATACAAATTTGTCGATCATTTATTGATTTAATCCTGTCTTGAAGAACCTAGCAAGACACTCATACGACCTGGCCAAAAATAGAAGGTACAATGGTCTTTTACGAAAATTTTCGTCATTCAAAGGTCTTTTTTACACGTATTTGCAATCATAGTGGATAAGCGGATAAGCCGATTAGGTTGATAAAGTTGCTGACCTGTAAAAAATTTGATCATCGTTTTTTCAGGATCTGCTTGTGTTAATTAATATATTATTATTGTTGAATGAATTTCACTCCTTTGCCCAAAATGCATCAAATAAACCTTTAAGTTTGATCAAATAATAAAATTGATATATCTATTTATATGTATATACATGCGTATTATATATTAAAGTTAATAGTTTCTGACATACAGTCTACCCAAATTTAGATATTTATTTTCAGCCCGTTCATTGAAATAAAACAAAAAAATTATCAGTATATTATAATATAAATATAGTACTTTGTACAGCACTGCGCTAATTTAAGAGTTAGACCATTGCTTTCATAATTTATAACCACTGCAGATTGACACCTCGTAGAAGTCAGTTGAATCTTTCGATTGTAGAATTAATTTGATTGTCCAGATCTTTGTTGCATTTGTTTTCGTGATCGAACTTTAGATCAGTATTTTAGAATTTTGAGGTCGAACGTGTTTCAACAATAGAATTTTTTAATATTGTATGACCGAAATTTGCAACCGACCGAAATGAACAGGCCTTTTTAAAATTCGGAGAAAAGTAATAAAAAGATCCATTTGTCATAATTTCAATAAAAAAAAAAAAAAGATCGATCAAATGGTATCTTTTAAGTTTCAAAACACGATATTCCTATATTAATATTATATATTGTATTACTGTTGCAAATACATCGATTTTGATAGGTCAGATGTAAAATTCTTGATATTTAAACGAGATTATACAATATACCACAATTCTATCAAGATTAAGTACTCTTGCATTACTGGTACTAAGTTGCATGAGGTACTACAGATTGCCAGAGTTAAAGGTAAAGATCATTTCGTTAACTTTCGTCACGAGAATTATAGCAATTTCTAATATTTAAATATAAAATGGTAGGCCACTTCATATGTGAAGGAAACTCAGGCGAATATGATTTAAAAATATTTTTATATAAGAACGAGGAGATAAACAAAGGATATGATATTTGCTATAAATTTTATTTAATTGAGTAAATTAACTGTAGACTTAATTCTTCGAAACCAAACTGCGGAAATATTGTGTTGAATAGATCGGGTAATTCTTGTGCCTTATTTCTTTATAGATCCAATTAAAAGAAAAGTGTAAGTGATATGATAAGAGTTAAATTTTGGGCGATGTCAAATCTAATAAGTATTATATCGTGCAACAAGTTTGGGAGGAAATATAAATTTATTTTAACCAAAAAAAGTCAACGAATTTTAAATGGCATATTATGTTTTCGGGTTTGATCTAATTCAGTATAAAACACGTGGTGGTGTCACTACCAATTTGCTACCAATTTATTATTATTAAAAATTAATCAATATCCCGAAATTCTGCTTCAATAATTGGAGGTTTCCGATAACCCTGACTATCTTGTTTCAAATCCGTAGGAACATTAATAACTTGTCCAGTATTTGGCCAATACATTTCAATATTTTTTATCTCAAAATCATCATGATTATGTAACATTCCTTCAACTTTGACGATAGCTTTCTTATTATTCAATTCATCAATTGCCCAATATTCAATATTAATTAAGGTATACTTTTGTTGAGAATCTGTTGAATTAAATTCGACAGATTCGGTGGAAATTGTATGTGGACCAGTAAATCCAATTATATTATAATTTAAATTTACCTTTTTAATTTGTTCAATAGATTTAGTATATAATTTACTTTGAATCTTTGTTAATTTTGTTGTTGGGTTGAAATTATAAAATTGTTTCCTATTAATGTCAATAGCCGGAAATAAGTAGTCCAATAATCTTTTTAAAAATTTATAAGCACCAAAGGCAATTGCTCCATTTATTATATAAAAAAGTGTTGGCTTGATAATGAAAAATGTTAACGTCGCTCCACCAAATGCTACAAGTTGTTTTAATGTTCTCTGAGGTGGTGAATGCATTCTTGAGGGAGGAAAAGACGATATTGATCGGGTAAAATTGGTAGATGAAAATAAGAAAGGAGACTGTGGTTTATTACGACAAGGTAAATAAGGTGGGAAAGGTACTTTATTGTAGATTTGGTGATGGATTGTTGACGAGATTCGAAGAGAAACATTTTTTGCTCGAAAATATTGCTCTAATGAAGTAAATTATGTGAAAAAAATTTATCATATATTGCAGCATACTAATACTTTATGCAGTTTATAAAACATACCTTTATTATTATAAAACCGAGGGATAAAAGTTCGTAAAACACTTTTATTGGTTAATAATTTAAACATTATTACCTAATTAATTATTTAACTAGATTGAAAGAGAAGAAATTGCCGATTGAATTTTTTTTTTTTTTTAGTCGGATATGACTGATAAGCTGTATCATAATATAAAAAATTCCTAATACGGTAAAACCAATAAATTTCTCCGTTATTTACTTAAATTAACGATTTATAAAATGATTTTTCCATAATAATCGTACAAATATCTATTTATATAATATTTATAATATTTCTATATATATTCACGCCTATATATATATGTCCATTCTATTAAAAAAAAAAAAAAAAAAAAAATTTCTGCCAAGTTTATAACTTGTATAAACTACATAATAAAAAGAGTATATAAATATTCTATGTTGACAATCTAGAAAAAAAAAATACTTTTTCTCTAATCTTTTGTCAAAAGGTATTTAAAGTTAAATAAGGTTTGATTTTATGTTAAATAGTTTTTATTAACATTTTCTTTAAACGTGCGCAGCTTGTCAATGACTCTTTTTAAATAGATTAACACCACGTAATATAAAATATACATAATACCACACAATCGAATCACAAATTCCATATTATGCCGTCAGCGACATTAAATCGTAATAAAAAATCAGATTATTTTATGAGACCTAATCATAATTATTACGATTTTAATATATTACCTCGAGCGAGAGGTTCACAATTTGATCGGACTTTTGGTATACATAACGCAATAATGCGCAGAGAACGATTTATTCGTCGTGGATTATCTGTTATCATTTTAGTAACTTTAATAGTATTCATGATTTATGTTTGGTTTTCTCCAATCGAACAAACTTCAGATAATATTAAGGTTTCACCAATTCCAAATTCTCCAAAATCTCCATCTAATGTAATATCTTCACCTATTATTTCAACAGAAGAAATTCACCTTTATCGTATTCTTGGTAATGATCTTCCTCCTAGACATAAAGCTGGTCAAGTTCTACAAAATGTAAAATTTATCCTGGAAAATGAACCAAAATTTCATAACACAAAAAAATGGTGGATATTAAACCGTATAATAGATAATGAATATGAAAACGCTTTAATAGATTTATTAAAACAATATAACCAAGAATATGTTAGAATACCTTTTTTAGTTGAAGAATATTTAAAATACGATTTTAGACTTGAAGATTTTCCTGAACATGACTTTTTTCATTCTTATGAATACATGAATTTTTCAAAGGTGGCTAAATTAAGAACTATAGATTATTCATATCACGACAAAAATTTATATGCAATGAATAATAATGGAGGAAGGAATGCAGCATTAGCACATGGTAAATTACAACCTAATGCACGTTGGATATTTCCATTTGATGGAAATTGTTTTTTAACTACAAACGCATTTAATGAAATAATGACACAAATTGAAAGATGGGGAAAAGATTATAAATATTTTGTTGTACCAATGGCTAGATTATTAAACAATACTCAATTATTAGTTGGCACTGATACTAGGCCTCAAACGCCAGAAGAACCGCAAATAATATTTCGTCATGATTCCGAGGAAAAATACAATGAAAATATGAGATATGGTCGTAGATCAAAATTAGAAATGTTATGGAGATTAGGAGTACCATCGCCGCGTAAAATATTAAATAAACCTCCGGTACCATGGGAATCACATGATGCACCATATTTTTCTCCTCCTAAAAATAAGTATAAAATGATTGGTTGGGTGTTTAGATTATTTTCAGGTCAAGCATCACAAGAAGTACATAAAAGAGAAGCTAGCGCTCTAAGAGCTTTTAACAGATTATTAGCCATACAAGATTTTTTGGATGGAATTGATGAAAAGATTGCAAGATCGACACAAGGTTTTGATGCCAATCGTTTATTCTTATACGATGAAAAATCATTGAATCAAGCAAGATTACATTATTGGAGGGGTGATGAAAAAATAACAAGGGTTGTTAATGTTATGTTAGATAGAGCAGATACGATGAGTTCGTATGCTGCTAATTGGTATTCTTCTGCTAATGGTTTACCTATCGATGCAAGTACTCAAGTAAAATTCTTGCAACTAAAAACTGATCCTTCTCCAGCTTTATTAGAAGATGAGAGAAAAAACGAAGAAACAAATGTTGATGATGTGTATCAGCAACAAGAAGAAGTGATAAAATCGAATGATTCTGCTTCAATTGAACAAGATGTAATGTTAGATGAAGAACAAAATCATGTCATAACAAATGAATCACAACAACAATCAACAGAAAACTCGGATACTACTAATTTAAATGAAACAAATACGAATAACATATTTCCTTCATCATCAGGTGGAGAGAAACCTAAAAAATATATTGGAGTTGAAGTAGATGAATTTGGTCGGTTCGTTTCAAATACACCGGTTCCTTTACCAAATGTTTCAACGTCAGAATTATTCGAGAATATAACAACATTAACATTTGCACATCATTTTTCTGGAAATGTTCGTTACTCTCGTTGGGCAGCAAATTTAATTCGAACATTTATATTATCATCCTACGGAGTAGGGGAACAAGATGAGTTGCAAGTCACTAATACAGATTTTGAAGCTACAAATGATGAAGGTTATAGTTTTCCACATCTTAATAAAATTCCTAGAACAGTGCCAAAATTTAATAAAATAGGAACAAAATTTCCGGCCGATCTTTTAGAAACAGATCCAAGCTTTTTTTTGGATTCTTGTAGATTACTTTATCGTGTTAGAGCTCTTACACATAAGGAATTTACTGAATTAAGACAATTCTCATCAATTTGGTTAGAACGTTTAATAAATAGTCCTGAAAGTATTGAAAGATCAAGGGAACCAGATCATAGAGGTACCTTATATGATATACAAGTAGCTACGTTAGCTGGATTTGTTGATGATGTAAGATTATATTTGAGAGTTATTAGTAGAACGAGAATGAGAATTGGTAAACATTTTTATATTGCAAATGATGCTTCATTGTCTTCTCATATGAGTCAACCTTATGAAATTATATTTGTAAATAATTTGATCGAGAGAGGTAAATTATTACCTATACAACATGAAAGTGCTACTTTTAAATATACTACTTTAAATTTACAATATTGGATGATCTTAACTCGAATAATACAAAATGTTAGGATTGGATTAGATTTGTGGCAATATACTGCAAAAGATGGTCAAAGATTAAGTAGAGCAATGATGGATCATTTAGGTAAACATGCTAGTAAATTGGACAATGATTTGTTAAGACCATTAATACACATAGCTCAGGCTGCTCATCGAGCAAGTGATACTAAAAGAGGGATTTGGCACGAACATGGTGATGAACATGACTATTTTCAACATTTTTTAAAAAATATTGGTAGTAAAATGAATTTATTTGATAAAAATTCTTCAATTTCACCAAATGAAGAAGATATAATATTGAAAAGAAAAAGTGTCGATAAATGTGTTGGTTTAGGTGAAGAAGCTAGACAAAGAGGAATGCCTCCATTTTGGATGTTTGGTGTTGCATGAAAATTTTAAAAAATAGAAATTGTAATTGCCTTATTTTACTATATATATACATTTTTTTTTTTGATAGACGATAATTTCTTTTTAGAAAATTTTAAAAGTAATTAATAACATACATTTTTATATATATGCGTGCATGTTTTTTTTTGTGATATATTTTCTGTTTTAGTTAAAAAAAAAAACTGGCTGGCTTATTTTACTTTTTTTTTTATTACTAATTCCATTTTTTTTTTTAAAAAAAAAAAATGATTTCAAAAAATAATATTTTAAGTATAAAATATTTTAATAAATTAAGAAAATTTTAAATTAATATAAAGAGAAAAATAAGTTATCGCAAATAAAACTTTTGCACATATTCTTCTGTATCATTGAGATTAGCATCTTTATTCACAACCTGATAACGAATTTCGAAATCAAGGTCACGTGGATTTTCCTTACTTTTTTTACAATCAATTGTGCCATTTATTATTGTGCCTAATAAAATAGTAAAATGTAAATGAGTTAATCAAACATAAATCCTCTCACCTCTTTAAAATAAACAAATTACCTTGTTCAACTTTAATACTATGTTCTAAGAGAAAAATAGTTTGTCTCCAGTGAGTAACTTTACCTTGGGGACCTGTTGTAAAACCTGAAACCCCCTCAACTATATCATCAATATTCTGAGATAATGGAATATCATGATTGTCGCGTGTAAACCACGTATCAAAATATCCCAGAAATCCATGAATGTGACCATTTCGAGTAGATACTAGAGTAAAAGGTGATGTAAAATCTAACCGGAATTTACGAATTGTATATGTAGGTACTTCTTTAATAGATACGACATTCGTAATTACAGCTTGTGGTTCTACATATTCTACTATTGCAGAAGTTTTTATAGGAGATTTCATGGATGTCATTTTAAAACCTATAATAAATCAGTATGAAATTGTTATTAAAATAAAAAAGCATAAACGTCATTTCTCTCATTTCTATCTTGTTAATACCGTAGACATCATTCCAAAAGTTTAATGTATCATTAAATAATTCTTCGTCTTCGATTGCTGATAACAAAAGGCGACAATGGCTTGGAGCGACTGTAAATTTTTTTAAAAATTTTTTTACTTTCAAATTGAGGAAATATTATAACTAATAAGTATTGCTAATAACTTACGAATTCCATCTGATGCTAGCCATTTATCCCGCGCTACAATGACAGAGTCCAACATTGCTTCAAAAAATAAGAAATAACCCATCCATTCCGAAATGATTATATCCACTTTTTTTACAGGAAGGTCTACTTCTTCGATTTTCCCGTTAATTAATCTACAATAAAATCTTTATATCAAATTTCTATTAAAATAAATTTCCTAGTATATAAACTTACGTAATGATATTATCTAATTGATTTTCTTTTACGATTTCTTTGGTCCGTTCTATTATATCGGACTTTTCTACGGAAAAAACTTTATAAAGAAACATAATATAACATTCAATTTTATCTAAACGTATTTTCTTAAAAACAAATGAACATTACCTTTGGACGCTCCAGCTTTAGCCGCAAACATCGATAATATACCGGTACCTGAGAAAAGGACTATTAAATACTGACATGATGTTAATAAGCTGTTAGCAATTACTTACCACAACCAACATCCAGTACAATCTATGTTGAAGAGCAATTATTATAGAGGATTATAAACGGTGTAAACAAATAAGTGTAATCGAACCTTATTTTTAAAGAGATCTTTATTTTCATAAATAAAGTCACGATAACTTTCTGTGCGAACTCGATCTTTTAACATTTCTTCGTGTATATCTTCAAAATAAACAGAATTAAATTTCTTCAACATAAATTATTATATCGAGAAGGTAAAAATTTTCGAAAAAAGATTCTAACCGTTTTTTGCATAAGAATTAAAATAATAATTTGTCCTTTCCTCATAAGTGCTTGTCATTTTCAATGATCCTGTTGATTGTTCACTAATAAAAAAGGAAAGCAGTGAATTTTTTATAACTTCACATAATTGAAGGTAAACACATCATAAACCTTTTTATATCGGAATAAACATCTAAGAAAGAGTTTTTGACCATATTACGATAATCGTTGAATTGTGATTCAATAGTCTTAAATCTTGCTTCAGTATTAAAAAGTCGCTCTTCCGCAAGGCGAAGTTTTTTTAATAGTTCATGTTCTAAAGGTGTAGTAGGATCAATCTCGATACTTTGATCTTGGCCTTTCAATTCAAAAGAATTACTTTCAACATCTTTATCAAATTCATCATCTTCACTTTCAGCATAATCAAAAGCTATATAGTATGTAGAATTTTAGATTAAATTGAAATTTCAAAAATATGATAAGTCTTTAGTTTACCATATAATAAGGGATCATCTTCAAGAACTGGCTTAAGATAAACGTCATCATTGATGACTGATTGTATATTTTGTACTGTGTATGATGTGATACTTTCCAATTCAGAATTGTTTAGAACCTATATAAAGGTTAGTATTAATTTAATAACAACAATTTTAAGAATTTTGTTTTATAATATAATTAATTTACCTGTTGGCGAATATAATTTATCAGACGGATACATTGATAAAAATCGAATTCTATAATAATCTAAAGCATTAGAATTTTATATAAGTTAAGTTAATTTCATTGCAAATAAAATAGGATATGTACTTAATTCTGCACGTATTTTTTGAAAATCAAATCCATGATGATGCGAACAATGGTTAAATAAATCATCTGCCGAAGTGAATAATTCGTTACAAAATAAGCATTTAAGATCTTGTTGAGCTTCTTCTTCCCAATCATCCCAACGTTCATCTTTATACCAAAAGGAAATTTAATAAATCATATAATACTTAACCCTAATATCATAAATAATCTTAATATCATAATCCTACCGTTGGGATCGTATTCCGATTCACTATATTCTGACGAAGAATTATATTCAATATGCGAAGGAGCCTGTATCGACATATCAAAGGAATACAATCAAATGTTTTATATTTGTCTATAGACACTAGAAGAAGCAACCCAGACTTTTTTTAAACAAGAAAATTGAAGACAATGGATAAAATTCTCAATTTTGATTTGTTGTCTCCATCTATGTTTCACAAAAATGCTAATTAAGTGCACAATGCTATCATGAGATCATTTTAACGTCAGCGCTAATATATAAATATCGCGTATCGGCAAAATTTCGTTTCTCCTCTTCAAAAGTACTGTACAAAATGCAGGTTAGATGTGTAACCACTACTTCTCATGAAGGCCAAAAGCCTGGCACTAGTGGCTTAAGAAAGCGAGTTAAAGTTTTCCAACAAGAAAATTACACGCAAAATTTTATCCAAGCTACTTTGGATGCTATGTCTTCTCCGAGTGCTAATGGTGCTACTCTCGTCGTAGGTGGTGATGGTCGATATTTCTCTCCAGAAGCTATTCAACTCATTATACGCATTGCAGCAGGAAATAGAGTAGGTTAAATATATATTCTTTTACGGCCATAATTTCAAACTTATTTTTATACTTTATTTTAGGTTGGTAAATTGATTATTGGGAAAAATGGTATCCTCTCAACTCCTGCTGCCTCTAATCTCATCCGTAAACGTAAAGCTGACGGCGGAATTCTATTAACGGCTTCTCATAATCCTGGAGGTAAATATAGAAAGGGTTTTAATTGTTTTTGGCTGGGATCATCAGCTGATACATTTTCTTCTAAAGGTCCGGACAATGATTTTGGTATTAAATTCAATGTTAGCAATGGAGGACCTGCTCCAGAAAGTGTCACAAATTTGATTTACGAAAATACTAAGAAATGTGACAAATATTATATATGTGACATGCCTGAAGTAATTTATTACTATTATGTTTCTACATTCATTAATTCTGCTAACTAATTAGTAATCGTTACGATACGCTTCTTTTCTTAGATTGACCTATCTAAAATAAGAGTAGAGACCATGGATGGGTTTATTATCGAGATTGTGGATTCTGTAGAAGATTACGTAAATTTACTTAAAGAAATTTTCGATTTCGAACAAATTAAACAATTCTTTAAAAATAACCCTAATTTTAAAGTTCTTTTTGATGGTTTACATGGAGGTATAAATAATTAATATTTCTATTTATTTATTTGTAATAAATTTTTTTATTCTTATTTATTTATTAATACAAGTAACGGGACCTTATGCTGAGCATATTTTTGTTGATGAACTCGGTCTTTCACGTTCTTCGATACAAAATTGCGTTCCATTACCCGATTTTGGTGGCAGCCATCCTGATCCTAATCTAACCTACGCACATAGTTTGGTTGAACGCGTTGAAAGAGAAAATATTAATTTTGGAGCCGCTTCTGATGGTGACGGCGACCGTAATATGATTTACGGAAAAGATGCTTTTGTCACACCATCAGACTCAGTAGCCGTTATTGCTGCTCACGCTGAAGCAATTCCATATTTCCAAAAAACCGGAGTTAAAGGATTGGCACGTAGTATGCCAACAAGCGCAGCTATTGACTTGGTTGCAAAGAAGAAAGGATTAGAAGTTTTCGAAGTACCTACCGGTAAGCATATAATTTAACTAAATCTTAATATAAAAAACTTTTATGTTACAATGTATTGTATGATACAAATTTTATAGGTTGGAAGTTTTTTGGTAATCTTATGGATGCAGGCCGTCTATCAATATGTGGTGAGGAAAGTTTTGGTACTGGTTCTGACCACATTCGTGAAAAAGATGGTATATGGGCCATTGTAGGTTAGTGTAAACATTTGACAATATATGTTAGATTTATTTATTTATCTGTTTATTCATTATTATAAAAATTTAGCATGGCTTAACATCATAGCTGCGGTGAATGAAAAGAAACCAGGCTCTGGTATTAAAGAAATTCTTCTTGAGCATTATCAAACCTATGGACGCAACTTCTTTTCTAGGTATATTACGTATTAAATTTTTCTGAAATTACACTATATTTATTAATTTATTTAAATTTAAATATACCGTAGATATGACTATGAAGAAGTTGAGAGTGAAAGCGCAAATAAAATGGTTGCGCATCTTCGTCATTTAATCAGTGAAGGTAAAAATGACTTTATTGGAAAAACATTTGATCAATTTACGGTTAAAGAAGCAGATGATTTCGAGTATGTTGATCCAATTGATAGAAGTGTTTCTAAAAATCAGGTAATTTGTTGTTAATTTATTGATTTTTTTTTTACCTCTAATTAAATGTTATTTTATATAACACTTAAGGGTATTCGCATAATCTTTACTGATGGCTCTCGAATTGTTATTCGACTAAGTGGTACAGGAAGTCAAGGTGCAACGATTAGATTATATGTTGAAAAATATACTCAAAATGCTTCGGAGTATGGAGCTAACACTCAAGAAGCATTAAAACCATTAATTGATGTCGCATTACAAATTTCAAAATTGCAAGAATTTACAGGACACGATAAACCAACTGTTATTACTTAAATTTACTGCTATATTGTGTAATTTTAGTGAAAGAAAAAATTGTAAAACTATCGCTATATAAGTAAACATATTAACCGTTGACTGTTATCACGCTATCACATACCGGTGTTGAATAAGAAATAAATCGCGTTACGTCATATAAAATAAATCGCGCTGACAAAACTGACAAAACTGACAAAACTTACGCTTGCGTTTTTTAACTTTAACAAAAGAAAAAGAAATGAGAATCGAAGAAGTTGTTATAGAAGGTTTCAAGTCATATGCAGTTCGTACTCATATTACCGGATGGGATCCCGAATTCAATGCTATTACAGGACTCAACGGTTCTGGAAAATCAAATATATTAGACGCAATATGCTTCGTATTGGGTATAACGAATTTGAGCCAGGTATTATTTGAAAACCTTTATAAAGATCGCTGATCTAATCATTCAAAAATAAAAGTATGGAAATAAAATTTAGGTTCGAGCAACAAATATGCAAGATCTGATCTACAAACGCGGTCAAGCCGGCGTTAATAAAGCTTCGGTCACTATTACATTTAATAATGAAGATAGGAATAGTAGTCCTGTTGGGTTTGAAACATATGATAAAATAAGTGTGACGAGACAAGTGAGTAATAAAAATCTGTTATAATTAGAAAGACCAAAATTAAGTTATTTATTTTGTTATTCATTACAAACATTTAATAGATAATTATGGGTGGCCAAAGTAAATATATGGTTAATGGGACGAGAACTCAACAACAGACAGTTGGAAATCTATTCCAATCAGTTCAACTTAATATCAATAACCCACACTTTTTGATTATGCAAGGTCGAATCACAAAAGTTCTTAACATGAAACCTCCAGAAATTTTAGCAATGATAGAAGAAGCTTCTGGTACACGTATGTTTGAAGAGAAAAAAGAAAAGGCGTTGAAAACCATTGCAAAAAAAGAAAAAAAAGTTGAAGAAATAACAAAAGTAATTTGAAATTTCTTTTTTTTGTAGAGATTAATGTCTAATTAGTAAATTTTTAATATGATAGTTACTTATTGAAGAAATTGACCCGAAATTGGAACAATTGAGAGCCGAAAAGAGATCTTATCTAGAATATCAAAAAACTGAATCTGAAATTGAACGATTGAACCGAATTGTCATCGCATTTGAATATATAATGAATCTAGTATTTATCAGATTTTTTCCAATAATTTTTTAATTTATAAATTATAAATTCATATCTTATTATTATCGTTTCAAGGAAAGAGTCAACAAATCAGGTGCTGATGTTGATGCCAAGAAGAAGAAAATTAAAGATTCAGAAACGTTTAGTGAACGTCTCAAAGAAGAAATCGTGCACTTAGAAGATGATATAAAGCAAACGATGCATAAAAAAGAAAAGGTATTTTAAATTTTATGTATTTTATATTCATTTTTATATAAATTTACATTTAATTAATCTAATAAATATAGGAATTAGGAAAGAGCGACAATATTCAAGAATTAGAAAATAGTATAATGGAATATTCAAATCAGATAGTTCGTATTAATACAAAATGTGATCTCAACAGAGCTTCCATTGATGAAGAAACGAAAAATAAGGACACTCTTTTATGTAACAAAGCTGAGGTAAAAATTAATTGTATGGTTATATGGCACGTGGGATAATTCATGATTTTAATTCGATTTTTAACTAACAATAGATAAATCAAGTTTTGTTACAAAAGTCTGAAGAATACAAAAAATTAGAAACTCAGTTTGAAAAAATAAAAAGAAATCATGATGAAAAAAGCGAGCAAGTAAGAAAAGCAGAGGAGCTTTTACAAACTTTGTCTACGGGTGTTTCGGCACAAGAAGGGCACGAAAATGGATATATGGAGCAGCTACAAGGTATATTGATATTTCTACATTAACTTACAATGTTTATGGTATTAATATATTATAATTATATGATTTACGTAGAGGCAAGAAATAATGAATCTCACGCGTTAACCGAAATAGAACAAGCTAAATTGAAGATATCCCATCTAAACAAAGAATTAAATGAAAAAGAGCCTTTAGCTATAAAGGCTGTTAATGACAATCAAGGTTTGTTGAAAGATTATGAATCGGCTAAAAAAGTTGTACAAAATCTTACGGTACGTTATATTATATATGCTATTCTGAAAAAAATTACCGTTTATTAAAGCAATATTAATAATTTAGACAGCATTATCGAAGATTAATTGGGATCCAAGTAAAGAAGAAAGTTTGTTGAATAAGAAATCTACAATGCAGAATAAAGTAAAAGCGTTTACAGAGGTAATTTTCTTACGGATTGATTTGTTTGAAAATATGACTTAACTAAAAATTTTTTACTTTTAGAAATGTGAATCTCTGTCATCGCAATTATCAAACATTGAATTCTCATATTCTGATCCAACATCAAACTTTGATCGTAGTAAAGTTAAAGGTTTGGTTGCTGAACTAATTAACTTGAATCCTCAATATGCACAATGTTCAACTGCCTTGGAGATTTGTGCTGGTGGCAAATTGTATAACGTATGTTTTAGTGCTTATGTATGATTTTATTTAAAAGGATCAAGGAAGTTAAAATTAAGATTTTACGATATAGGTGGTTGTGGAGAACGAAAGTGTTGGGTCTCAACTTATCGAAAAGGGAAAATTACGAAAGCGCGTGACAATAATTCCTTTGAACAAGATTAAAGCGTACAAGATACCAGCTGAGGTATGATCAAAGAATATTTAATATTTGGAAAGTATTATGATATTAAAATAATTTAATTATAAATTTGTTAGAGACTTATAAGTGCTAAACAGCTTGCACCCGAGAAAGTACATTTAGCATTGTCATTAATTGGTTATGATGATGTAGTAACTCCTGCTATGGAATTCGTGTTTGGCAATACTTTAATATGTACGGATGCTGATACTGCTAAACGAGTCACTTTTGATAAGAACGTACGAACAAAATCTGTTACTCTTGAAGGAGATGTCTATGATCCTTTTGGAACTCTTCAAGGTGGCTCAAAACCTTTGTTTGCCGGAATTCTTATAGGGTTACAAACATTAAAAGAATACAAACAACAATTAAAAACTTATCAACAAGAGCTCGATGATCTGAATGCAGAAATCAGAAGCACACAAGAGATAATAGACGAGTACAACCAAACCAAGAAACAGTTAGACTTGAAAACGCATGAAGTTACATTATTAGAACAACAAATGAATAGTAGCAGTAACTCGCAGGTAACCAGAAACTATATCATAAAGCTCTAGTATCCATTTAGTTCTAAATTGTGTCTAATATCAAATATTTTTTGATATCAGATAATTCATATAGTTGAGAATATTAAATCTCAAATAGTTGAGCATGAAAATACTATTATCGATTCTCAGAAAAAACGGCAAGCTGCTTTAGATTCATGTCAAAGAATTGAAAAGGAAATGAATGAGTTCAGAAATAATCGGGATTCTAAATTAAAAGATATCAAGGTAGATAAACAATTGAGCAAAAAAAAAACAAATTTCGATCATTATTAATTATACTATACTTATACAGCAATCAGTACTCAAAGGAAAATCTGAGATCGCACAGAGTAATCAAGTTGTAATAAATATGCAAAGAAATGTTCAAACTATGCGCTTAGAAATGAGTAAGTTTTGATATCGTCAAATCTCAATTTGATTATGAAGTTTCTAAGTTGTTCCTTTTTAACACAGAGCAATTCGAAGAGGATCTGTTAAATGTCAACAGTGAAATTGAAAATGTTGATAATAATATTAAACAATTATCACAAGCTGCTGAATCTATGAGAAATGAACTAGATCAGTTTAAGGTAATTATAGGCTAACAGTTTAAAACTATATCTATTTACTAAATCCCACGGCAAATCATCCTTTAAGAACTCACTAGAGCAAGCTCAAGCTGAATTAGAAAAAGAGAGAGAAATACTTTCTGCTTTTGATGAGGAAATTGTTGAACTTCAAGCAGCTGTTAAAGCGAAAACAGCACAATTAACTGAAGCACAATTGGAAATGTCCAAGATTAATCATGATATTGAAAAGGTTCAAAAGGACGTAGTAGCGGCCCAACAAAATGTCTTAAGAATGGAAAATGAACATGACTGGATTTTAAATCAAAGACAGTACGTATATCTTGCCAAGTTTCTCATTATTATACGTTATAACTTATAAGTATTTTATAATATTACTTTATAATAGGCATTTTGGAAAACCTAATACTCCATTTGATTTTACAAATCAAAACCCGAATGAATGCAAAAAGATGTTGCGGCAGCTTGAATTAAATCGTAACAAATTACGTAAAAAAATCAATGCTAAAGTTATGAACATGATTGATAGGTTTGAATTTGCTTTAATTATTTAATCATTGACTTATTCTATATATTATTAATTAACATATCTTCTTTTTAGCGTGGAAAAGAAAGAAGCATCTCTGAAACAAATGTTAAATACAGTTGGAAGAGACAAGAAAAAAATCGAAGAAACAATTGTTTCTCTTGATAACTACAAGAAAGATGCATTGCAAAAGACTTGGGAGAAAGTTAATGCGTAAGAAATTTACAATAAAATAAAAATAAATTTATAATGGTTTATAATTTATTTATCCCTTTTTTCTAGTGATTTTGGAGCAATTTTCAGCGATTTGTTACCAAATAGTTTTGCTAAAATTCAACCACCTGAGGGTCAAGATCTGATGAATGGTTTAGAAATCAAAGTGAGTCTTGGAGGAATATGGAAACAAAGTTTGTCAGAGCTAAGTGGCGGCCAAAGGTCAGCATGAATCATTATGTTAACCTACTTTTCTACTTTTGCTTATACGCCGGATATTTCTTAATTGATACATAGATCACTTGTCGCCTTATCTCTGATCTTATCATTGTTACAATTTAAACCTGCTCCAATGTATATTCTTGATGAAGTGGATGCGGCACTTGACCTTTCACATACACAAAATATAGGTCAATTGCTTCGAACTCGATTCAAAGGATCACAATTTATAGTAGTATCACTCAAAGATGGAATGTTCAATAATGCTAACGTATTATTTCGTACAAGATTTCGGGATGGTACTTCAGTTGTCGAGGTAATTTTTTATAATGCTTATCATATTAAATATTAATCACGAATAATAACTCTCTTTTTTTCTTAGCGAACATCACAAAGGCAAGAGCTCGAGAGACGAAGAACTCAAAGATCACGATGATGTGATAATAATTCTTATATTAATGATATTGATCTTTTTTATGAATTTTTATTACAATATTTAAAAATTGTAAATCTTAAAAAAGATTCTTAATATACTCAGATAATTCGAACCTAATTTTATGTTAGTATTGGTATTAAAATCCAAATATATAAATATACATACAATTTGAGTCATTAGAGACGAATTTTAGTCACGTGCCGCAGCAAATTTTAGTTAAGTTTCTAGAGGGCATTTTCAACTAGTAAATTTTATCATGTTTTCTTCTCGCTCGTATTTTTTTTCTTATCAAAAAAAGAAATCTTTCATTTTTCAAATTTACAAAACGTTATTTTATGTAAATAAAAAATAGAAATAACAACATAATACATTTCGTTGTTAAGTTTAAAATTTTACAAAGATGAGCGTTGGATCTATTCAAAAAGTTGTTGAAATTCCGCTTCCGATCTCGAACCAAACGGTTGAAATTGATTGCGACCAGCTTGGAACAGCGGGGGAAACTCTCAATATGTTTGGTAATGAAGTCATTGACATGAAATACTGGATACATTTTGCACTTTTCTATAACGTAAATCGTGAGTCACCTGAAGAAGCTGTTAGTATTTTAGAAAGAGGTCTTTTATCACCCGGTTCAATAGATGAGCGTTGCAAATGCTTGAACTTACTTGCAAGTACTTACTTTAAAATGTACAAAGCGCCAAAATATCAAGCGAACATCGACAAAAAAAATTACTTTTTGGTTCAAGCTACAGAGAAATTCAACGAAGCTTCGCAGCTCAATCCTCAAAATCTTATTTCTTTAGTGGGGAAAGGTCTTATATATCTTGCAAAAAAAGATGTAGTGCAGGCGGGTCGCGAATTTTCAAATGCTTTAAGAATTTCGCCAAATTTTATACCGGCTCTTTTTGGTTTAGCTCGTATACAATATTCTCATAAAGCTTTCAAAGATGCTCTTGCAACATATCAAAGAATTGCTAGGCTTAACCCTTTCATGACGCATCCAGATCCACGTATTGGAATTGGTCTTTGCCTCAATAAATTGAATCGGTTTAATGAAGCAGTCCAAGCCTTTGATAGAGCTATTACAATGAACCCAAATAGTGTACCCGCTAATATCCTTCTAGCTACTATTGAATTTGATATTGCTAAACAACTTGATCCTTATAAAGATGTATCTGACGAAGAAAGATTAGCTAACTATTGCGCAGGCATGGAGCGCGTGGAATTAGCTCTTAATATTGATCCTACCAAATCCAGTGCACTAATTCTTTTGGCGCACGGGTTCTATCTTCGAGAAGAGATGGATTTTGCTCTAGAAGCTTTAAGACGAGCCGAAAAATATGCCGATTCCAGATTTATGCAATCCGAAACGCATTATCAACTTGCTAGAGCTTATCATTTTATAGAAGACTATGATAAGGCTTTTTATCACTATTATCATGCAATAGACATTAATGAAAATCATACTTCAGCGCGTTATGGATACGGACAAATGTTGATTCGTAATGGTTATTATGAAGAAGCTAAAGATGAATTCGAAAAATTATGGCACCTAAATATCAAAAATTTAGACGTCACCACAGTTTTATGCGTATTGAACGCTCATATTGGCTTTAATGACTCGGATCAATCAGTTAGGCAAAAAGCATTAAATGATTTCGATAGAATCTCGAAAGCTTTCGTAGAAGACAAATATAAGAATCCTGACATTTCAACAGTAAAGGCTTGGTTCTTTGAACAAAAAAAGAATCCGGTTAAAGCGCTTGCATCATTAAAGAAAGCAAAGGAATTATATGAACGCCTTCATAGATCAGTTCCATTTGAACTTCTCAATAAAATGGGGAATATGGCTTTTAAAGCTAAATTATATGAAGAAGCAATTGATCATTATAGTGAAGCCTTAAGAATAATTGAGAAATTGCCGGAAAAGGGGGGATATCGCGGATTAACAGTGTGTTATAATAAGGGGCGTGCTAATGAAGCCGCACATAAAACAGAGCAGGCAAGACAAATTTATAAGAAGATTATAGATCGTAGCCCTGAATTTGTGTTAGCTCGGTTACGTCTAGCTGCAATTGAAGATAAACTTAAAAATCATCATAAAGTTGATGAAATAATTCATGAAGTTTTAGATCTTGATGAAGAGAATATGGAAGTCAAAAAAATTCACGCTTTATATCAGTTGAGACGTGGAGATTTTCAAACACCTAGAAATCTTTTGCATTCTCTTGCGGAAAAAAATGATTTAGTAGCTATAACAGCATTAGGCAGTTTATACTTAATTAGGGCACGTCTAATCAAACAAGAGCATGAAAAACCACAGAGAGAAGCGTATTATAAGAGAGCTGTAGAATTGTTCCAAAGAGCTCTAAATTTAAACCCAAGAAATATATGGGCAGCTAATGGAATTACTGTAGCATTAGCAGAAACCGGAAGAATGCAAGAAGCAAATGAGGGTTTTTGGAAAATACTCCAAAATTGCCCTAAGCCTGAATTTAATATTAATTATGCACATACTTGTGCTCTTTTAGGCGATTATGGTAACGCAATACGTTTTTATGAAGTAGCTTCCAAAAAGTATCAACATAGGGATTACCAGATAATGGAGTGGATTGCAAGAGTATATTATATAATTGGAAAAGAACGAAAGGACCTTGAATCATTAGAAACAGCTTTGGATTGGACACAGAGAGCTCTTCGATTGAAGCCAGATCATAAGATTGCACTTCATAACCTCGCTTTGCTCCAACAAACCCGTGCTCAATTAATCAGAGACGCCAAATTAGGTCAATCAAAAGTAGGCCAAACGGCTCCAATAACCACAGCATCTCCAAATATTTCATTGCCAGAATTGAAAAAAGTAATCGCTTGGGCCCAATGGTCTACAAAAACATTTGAAGAGATACTTAAAGAAGAATACAAAAAAGTGATGTTTGATCGTGATCTAGTGAAGAATCGTGTTGCCTTTGGAAACTCAATGATTGGAAGTTTTGAAAAAAAGAAGAAAGAGCTCGAAGTAATTGAAGAACAAAAAGAAGTTGAAAGAACAGAAAGAAAAAGGGTTGAAGAAGAAAAACAACGTATAGAAGAACAAAGAGTTGCGGAAGAGGCAGTGTTAGAAGAAGAAAGACGAAAGAGAGCTGCAGAAGAGGATAGAATAAGAAATGAACGTCTTCAGGAATATGCTGCAATGCAAAAGATATTATACGCACGAGAGGAAAAATCAAAAAGAAGAAGATACTCCTCCGATGAAGAAGACAGGGGAATGTCTTCTAAAAAGTCTCGTAGAGGTTTTAATATTTAATAAATATAATTTCATATATAATTTGTAAATTTTAAATTGATTTTTTGTAATTAGTAATTTTATTTTTTTTTTTTTTTTTTTTTTTTTTTTTTTTTTTCTTCATAAAATAAATTTATTTTATGGATTATTTTATGAATAAACACTATAATTTCTACTAATAAATTTTGAAGATCTAGAATTTGGAGTTAAGAATGTATGACATTTTGAATTAAATATAAGTCAGTTTGCATTATTACAAATAAAATTCCATTATAACATGAAATTCACCAGTTTCTCTAGTATTGACCTTATCCGTCTTTTTTTCGATGAATACCAAAATATAAATAATGTGATGTGATATTTCAACATGATTTAATATTCAATTTAACAGATAGGGGTGATTGTGATCAAAAACATAAAAAAATCAAGGGGTATAATCCAATTCATTTTGATTGGACACTTTTTAAAATTTTGCTCGGCCATACCATACATAGCTAATCCTGACCCTATACTTTCGAGTTAATATATTTATTTATTAAACTTGGAATGAAAAACGTTTTTCTGAAATAACATTATATTTTTTGAACTCTAATAAAATTAATTATACATGCACAAAAATTTTTTATCAATTGATTATGAAATGATAAGATAAATATGCTAATAATTATGCAATGACAAAATTACAAATATTAACAAAAAACATACTATACACAAAAAATAATATAAACCGATTGTTCAATCAATAAATTTTTTTAACAAAAAAAAATTGAAATAAGTGAATGAATTTGACCAAAAAAAGAAAATTAAAATATTGCAACTTCTTTTTCAAAAATAAATGTATTAAAAGATTATAAAATAATTTACATAAACCGAATTGTTTTAGGAAAAATTTTTTCCATCAAATTACTATTCCCATCATAATCGCTACAAAAATGCCTTGAATAATTATCACTAAACTTTAAAACTTTCAACCAAAATCTAAGACGTATTTAAAATATGACGCATTTAACATCAATGAAAGATCAGGTCAACTTTTGAAAATAAAAGACTTCCCCTGCAAAATATTGAAAGAAAAATTCAATCATTAATTTATTACACCGTAAGGCCATTATTTAAAGAATTTGAATCTTTCTCTGTATCATCATCAGGTGTATCTGGAGGAGTGTTTAAATTTGGAAGACTTGATTCCCGTGGTGGTGCAATAATCTGTACAGCAGCTGGTTCGTCAACCATCGTTATTTCAGGTTCTTCTCCAGTTTGATTTGGCTGATTTTCACCAGTCTCGGAAGGCGCGCGAGAAGGTTTCTTCGCAGAAGCTAATTCTGCACTTTTAATTCCAAGTGTATTTAGCATAGAAGGTAGCGCTCCTAACCTTGCATAAAACATTTGTAAACGTAATCTTAAACATTCAGCATAAAGGTCAACAATTGGCCTATTATTATATAAGCCTTGACGAATATTACGAATAAATACGTAAAATTCGCAAACAGCCACCAGCCGATCACGGCAATAACGATCAATTAAAGACCAATCATCTAAATTCGTTATACGATATTGAAAAGGCAAAGGACCAATCCGACCACAACATTGACAACCTATCCTTGGAGAATTTGAATTTCCTGAAAGACGTTCCCATAACATCGGCTTAGAAGCAGAATTACGAATGGGAGAATGTGAATTTAAAGCTTGTTCTTTATCAGCACCAGGAGGAGATTCTTCAATAAAACAAGTGTTTGCAACAATAGCATCAACTATTCTACGTGAAGAGACACGAGGGTTACTTCCAAATCTCATACAAGGATCCACATCTTCTTCTAAACAATGACGCATAAAAGGAATAGTATGAATTTTTTGAAGCCTTACAGTCGGACTTTGTTCAACAAATTCCTGAAAATCTGCAATCAATTCATTATCAATACCAATTCCGTCGACTCCTGTAGGACCAGGTAAAGTAGCAGCAGCGTCGGGTGATTTTTCACGTAAACCAAATAGTTCAGCGAAATCAATACTTGCTCTAAATGAAGGATCACTTGAGCTTGATCTTTTACTTTCTGGTTGTGGTTGATTTTGTACTAATTGTTCCATTTTCTCTCTTAATTCTTTAAGCTGAGAACTCTCGGCCATTAGACGTTCCTGAGTTTCTTTAAGTTGCTTTTCTAATGCTTTTTGTTGAACTTCTAAATCATATCTTTCTTTTGCAGCTGAAGCAACCATTCCATTGGCTTGCTCAAACAAAACTCTACTTAATTCTTCCAATTCGCCTTCAACTACCTCTTTAGAATGCTGTAATTCGGCAACTTTAGTAATTTCATCGACAAATTTATCATTTAATATAGCCATATCTTTTTGTAAAGCAATAAATTCATCAGTTTTTACATCAATTTGATCTTCCAATTCTTCAATTCTTTTACGTAAATTCTCAATTTCGTCATTTTGCCTTTCTACTTTGTCAAATTCTTCTTTTATCCTATTATTAGCAACTTCTAAATCGTCAAGCTGTTGTAAACGTTGTTTATGTAAATCTACTAACGCAGGAACAACTCTTTCACATCTATTACAATTCGCTGTTCCAGGAATTATACTTAATTTTTGACAATAACATTCCTTTAAATCATTTTCAATAACTTCATTCTCACAAGCTTTAATTGTCGTATCAGCAGATGTTAAAAGTTGATCATTCAATGAACCTGATTCATTTGAAACCTTGGCAGATTCTTCTAGCACAACGCTCGGTATAGAATCTGTATTAGATTGTACTTTTGGACTAGATACTGGAGGTTTATCAATGACTGCTTGAATTCTAGCATGTAATTTTTCAATGTCTTTTGCTGTATAATCTTTAGCTCCGTTTGTTACAGGAATTGTAGGTGGCTCGGCTTCAGTCATGACGAATTGTTAAGTTAATATTACAAAAAAAAAAAAAAAAAATTATAAAATAAAGTATATAAAAATACAACTTGAGAATATATATATTTTTTTTTTGTATAAAATAGTAGGAAGGTTGAAAGGTGTTCTACAATAACGTATATCGATTTGGATCTAACCAAGTTGCGCAATTAAAGGCAAAACCAAGGTTGGTTTTTCTTACCGGTTTAAATTATAAAATAAACAAAGAAAGAAAAAGAAAAAAAAGTTTTCTTACGATTTTAAACCACGAAATCTTTTATGCTTAATTGAAACAAAAAAAAGAGAAGCAATGTGATATGTAAATTAAAATATCATCGAAATGGCGGTTATGTGGCTAAGTTCAATTTACCAAATTAATTTTGATTGGTTCACCGTTGGTTGCAATTTTTTTGAATTCAATACCTAAAAAAAACAGAGGATGGTCAATTTCGGATTTTAGTTTTCTAGCTTTTCGTTTTTATTGTTTTTATTCCAAACTTTTTACAATCACGGTTAAAACCACCATGGCACTACCTAGCGCTGATGAACTTGAACAACTCCCAGAGATTGGTTAGTTTTTAATTTTTTTTTTTTTTTTTTTTCCTATTTATTAAATAATAAAAACTTTTCTTTAAAAAGAAAAGCAATGGGCGGTCAAAGCCACGCAATATGCAGAAACATATTTTAGATTAATATCGAGTATTGATGGAAAATCTCTTCGATTAACGCCGTAATTATTTATTCATATAAGAATTTTATTAAAAAAAAAAAAATAATATTTTTAAAAAAATTAAAATAGTTTTTTTATCTTAATTAGAATTGATGATGAAATTTATCAAGATTTTCAAAATACTTTCCCAAATTTTTCATTAATTGAAATAGATGAAGAAGAAATGAAATCTACCAACGGAAAAGAAATTTGGAGAAATTGGATTATGAAATATGAAAAGCGTGTTAGTGATTATAATTTTGGTACCTTATTAAGAAAAAATGTTGATGGTGATTATACTGAAGAAAACACAATGTTTGGTAAGTTTATTGTGGGGTCTTACACAGATACAATGATCGGGAATGAGATTGTGATGATCATATTAGTTTAACCATCCTTTTTTTTGATCTTGGATTATAGTTACACGGATGCAGGTACGGGTAATTTTCTGCATTTTTGAAATTCTTTTGCTTATATGATCTTTTAATTTTCTTATAGTTTTATGCAATTGAAATAGCAAGAAATAAGCAAGGCCTGAATTCTCATTTAGCTCAAAAGAAAACAACACTGTAATTGTATAACATAATAGAATCCAACTAAAAGTTATATATTCCGTGACTTTACAAAAAAAAAAAAATAAAATAAAACAGAATAAAATTCAAATATATTATTATTTCAAAAATCTTTTTACTTTTCACATATACAAGATCCATGTAAATAAAAATTATGAAAATTAAAAGAAAAAAATAATCTTCTCCTTACTTTAATGTTACTTGATTAAATTTTTTTTGTGATTATTATTAAAACCAAAAAATAAAATATTAACTAGTATTTAAAAATAATCAAATTTTTGCTGAGTTATTTTAAATATAACTTTATTTATTTAAAATTTATTAAATTTGAAAGTAAATAACCTTTATTTTATAGAATTAATTTTATTAATTATAGATGTCAGTGCATTTATTGTATTTTATTTGATTTAATTTTTGTTATTTATTTTAACCTTTATTTTAATAATATAGTCAATTATATAGTCCAATCTTTTTAGAATAATTCTATTTTATTTTAATGTATATATCTACAAATTAGGTAAATAAATAGAATTTTTCAAATGGTATTTATAAAGTTTACAAATTTGAAATTCCTTGATAAAGTTGCTTGCTTGTTGAAACTAGTGAATTTTATTACAGTCAATTCTCTATAAATGCACTCTCTATAAATGCACATCCTCTATAAATGCACCTTTTATCTAGTCCCAACTTGGGCCTTTATGCTAAATGCATGGTTTTTATATATATGTATTCTGTAAATGCACTTTTTATAAAAAAATTTTATATAGTTTACTTATAAAATTTTTGTATTACCTTAATTTTAGATTAATATCATATAGATTTATATGTATTCTATAAATGCACATCCTCTTTAAATGCACTCTTATACCTGGTTCCAAGGGAATGTATTAGTGATGTATTTATAGAGAGTTGACTGTATATTGAAATTGTTTACTATTTCATTTTATTTTTGACAAACAACTTTATTTTTTGATAAATAAAATACAAGTACATTTAAAAAAAAATCGTATAATTTAAAAATTTTAATAATATTTTTACTAATAAATTATTTCTTAATAAATATACTAACTGCAGTACATTTATAAATTTATTAAAATAAATACTAATAGTTATATATAAAGTAAAATACTATATTCTATATAATAATAATTATTATTTTTTAACTATATAATATTTAAAGAATTTCAGATATTTAATATAAACTATAATGGATTTTTGGCCAAATTATTTCTTTTTGCTAAAATTCAAAAAAAATATTTTTTGCAAATATTTTGACATTTAATAATTTAAGAAAATTATATAACTTTATACTTGCTATTAAAATTAATTATAATATATAAAGCTTATACTATAATATATTAAATCACAATAATGCTATATTTATTTAGTATTAAATATATAAAAATTATACAAAAAAATTAAATATTTTTTTAATTATACTATAAATAACTTGTAATCTTAAATATTTAAATAGTAAAATTTATATTTTATAATACTATAATTTCAATTTGACAATTTTGTTAACACTTATATAAGGATCCTGGACATCATATATACAATACAGAGATTGATCTTTCGCAAATTGACCCTAAATTTCAAAAAAAAATCAAGTTTTTTGCGAATTATCTCAGCATTCAGTAGTCCAATTTATGCGAACTTCTTTTTATTTTATAGCTTTCATCAAGCTCTACAAAATAAAAAAAATCTATAAATCAAATTACTGAATGTCGAGATAATCACAAAAAACTGAAAATAAAAAAAAAAGCAAATTGGAACTTTTTTGGCAAAAAATCAGTTATGACCTATATAAGAGATGTCCAGAGTCCTCTTATATATAATTCTGATTTTTAACTTTTAAAAAATAGATTAATTTGTTAAAAGTATATAAAAAGTTAATTATCTTTAATATAATAGCTAAATGTAATATCCTTTATAATAAGAATATAAATTCAATTTTACCAATTGCAAAAATTAACAAAATTTTACTGTACAGTTAGCCCTTAATATAACGAAGTAGGTGTCTAGACCGATCAGCCCTTTGTTATGAGAAAATTCACTAATGCTATAACAAATTATTCAGTATAGCAGAAAAATTTGGTATAATGATCACAGAGGCAAAGAAATTTCAAAGCATAAATCATCCATCTTTTGATAAATGAATTAAAATGGTAAATTGCTTATTTGGGAAAAATTTCATGAAAGCAATATCAAATTATCTTTTATATTAAAATTTATCTTGCAAAAATCTTCATTATACTAAAAAACAAATTTGTTTTAAAAGAAATTCATTATAAAAAGGGTCATTTATATATATGAAATCATAATTTTTCTTCGTTCAATGTTATAATGCATTTTATTAGTAAAATTTGGTGTAATAAATTTTTTTTTATATGACTAAATGCGTACCACACTAAAGATTTGTTATATCGTGAAATTCATTATATCAAAATTCGTTATAGAAAGGGCTAACTGTATATACTACAATTTATAAACCATAACTTATATATATAAAATTTTTTTAATGGTTCTGCTACTTATTACTATATAGTAATAAATAATTATTTATCATCATAATCAAATAGTAATGAATAATTATTTATTATTATAAAATTTATTGATTTTTTTAAGTTTACAATTATTGCAATGTATTTTATCATATATATTAATATAATATCAATTATTACTAATAAACTTTAGTAATATCTTTTTATTTATATATATAATTTTTTTTTTAATATGTTATACATTTATTTTATATATATATAATTGTAAAAGTAATATAAAATTAATATAAATTAAAATTACATTACTAAATAAATTTTACTGAAAATAAATTAATTTTAAATAGTAAATATATTTATTAAATATAATTTTAAATTATTTGATTAATATTAAAATTATAGTCAATAAATTATAAACTAAAATTAAAGTAATATTAAAATAAATTAAAATTTTTTTTATAAAAATTTACTCTAGTTGAAAAATTTAATATATATAATAAAACTTTAATTTCAATAAAATTTTATTTAAAATTTTTAAAATTATTCTTTAATTAAAATATAAAATTTATATTATATATATATTTTGTATTAAAAAATATTTTTTTTATTAATAATCTATTAAATTTTTATCAATTAATAGTATAATATATACCATATTTTTATCTAATTCTTTAATTTTAATGACTATTACAATCAGTATTAGACCATTTGAATAATTGAACAAATGAATATCTAATTGGATATCCAATTGGATATTTCATATCATATTCAAATCCAATTGTTTTAATTGGATATTAAAAATGCTCAACACTACTAATTACAATAAATAATCCTTTTTCTTTTTTAAATAAACCTTTAAAGTTATTAAATAGTAATAAGATTCAATAGATTAATAATTAGTTAAAATGTTAAATTTTTAAATATATATAAAAGTTAGAAAAATTATAAATTTAACAATATTTGTTTAAGCAAGCTTAAATGTAAAACAATCAATAAAATTCCATCTGCTATTCATGTAATTGTTATAAAAAAAAAGAAATTGATTTCTTAATTCTGGCCAGAATTGTAGAGGACACGGCATCACGTGTTTAAATCTAGTATTGTTACATAAACTTAACCCCACAAAAAAAAAATTATTTATATTATTGGAACAATTATTCTTATTCTTGTTGAATTTTTTTTTCCCTTAATAACCATTTTACCAGCGTTTCAACTACGAAAAAAAGCCACCTAATCCAATAAAGAGAATTGTCTTTTGCTTGTAGACGATAACTTAACCAAAAAATATAAAATATAGACAAAGTTTGCTTTACAACCTAATAAAGTATATAAGACGAACAACTTTTTTTTTTGAAATTCGCTCTGCATCGCCACTATTTATAAAGCTAAACATAGACTCAACTTCACATCTGTACAAAAAAAAAAAAAAATTTTTTTCTTCACAAATATTTTATTTACGGGCAGAGATCGTTTCGTTCGGTATACCAAGACAAGTAAAGAAAGACGGACAGCCGTCATATAAACCAACACGCATTTTTTTAACTTTAAAAAGATTCACGCAAAATAACTCTTGTATTATAACACTGTATAAAAACTTAAAAACATTCAAATGGCTGGAATTCTCCCAAATCATCAACAGCCACACCATCTCAAGTAAGCTTCTATACTTTATCTCGTTTCGCTTTTGTTAATTGTAAAACGTTATGGCTTTAAAAAAGCAACTTTAAAAGTTGTCATTTTTATAATAATATTCAGACGCGAGTGTTGATAATACTCGTGTGGTTTAATCTATATTTTTAGATAATATATATAAAATGAATTTTTCTGATAATTTAAATGATTGATCTTTATTCAATGGTAGTCATGAAAACGATAGTTGGAAGAAAAATTTACGGCTGCCTCCTAAAGATCATCGACCACAAACAGAGGCAAGTACTAATTTTGTCAAATTGAAAAAAACTATTCTCTTACTTCAATTTAATCATATTTACATAATATATTTATGTGTCGTTTTATACAACAGGATGTCACAGCTACAAAGGGAAACGAATTCGAAGACTATTTTCTAAAACGCGAATTACTGATGGGTATATTTGAGGCCGGATTTGAGAGACCATCACCAATTCAAGAAGAATCCATACCAATCGCTCTTACTGGTCGTGACATTCTTGCAAGAGCAAAAAATGGTACTGGTAAAACGGCAGCTTTTGTTATTCCAGCCTTAGAAAAAATTAATGTGAAAAAACCGAAAATTCAAGCGTTGTTACTCGTCCCTACGAGAGAATTGGCCTTGCAAACATCGCAAGTATGCAAAACCCTTGGAAAGCATATGGGAGTACAGGTTATGGTAACGACAGGTGGTACAACGTTAAAAGACGATATTTTACGTTTATCTGAAATTGTACATATTGTTGTTGGAACACCTGGTCGTATTTTGGATTTAGCTGGAAAAGGCGTAGCCGACTTCAGCGAATGTCCAACATTCGTAATGGATGAAGCAGATAAGTTGTTGAGTCCAGAATTTTCTCCGATCGTCGAACAACTTATAACATATTTCCCCAAAGATCGCCAGATAATGTTATATAGCGCTACATTTCCCTTGATTGTGAAAAGTTTTAAGGTATTAATATCTTGATAACCTATCTTTCTTAATTTGTTAAAATGATGTTTATATGTTAATGCGTGTCATTTAGGATAAATATCTTGTAAAGCCGTATGAAATCAATTTAATGGATGAACTCACACTTCGTGGTGTCACACAATATTATGCTTTCGTTGAAGAACGGCAGAAAGTGCATTGTCTTAATACCTTATTTTCTAAGGTATAAATAATTTTATATTAATCTTTAGATTAATAAAGAAAATAAATACTAAATTATTGTTTTAATACGATTTACAGCTACAAATTAATCAATCTATCATTTTTTGTAATTCGACTAACCGGGTTGAACTTCTTGCGAAGAAAATAACCGAACTTGGATATTCATGTTTCTACAGTCATGCAAAAATGTTACAGAGTCATCGTAATCGTGTTTTCCATGATTTCAGAAACGGTGTTTGTCGTAACTTAGTATGCTCAGGTTTGTATAGGATAATTCTCCGTAAATGTTGTGAACTGAAAGATTTCTATGTCAATTTTATTAATAGAATTTATATGTAATTAGATTTACTTACTCGTGGTATTGATATCCAAGCGGTTAATGTCGTGATTAATTTTGATTTCCCAAAAAATGCCGAAACGTACCTTCATCGTATTGGTAGATCCGGACGGTTTGGACATCTTGGGCTTGCCATTAATCTTATCACTTATGATGATCGGTTTAATCTTTACAAGATTGAACAAGAGCTTGGTACTGAGATTCAACCTATTCCGCCCGTTATTGACAAGCGATTGTATGTTGCTCCAAGTGCACTGGATGATGCTCAAACTCAACAAATTCAGAATAACCAAAATAATCAAAATATTAATAGTCAAAATAATCAAAATATTCAAAATATTCAAAATAATCGCTCTCAAAGTCATCAAAACCATCAAAGTCATCAAAATTCACGAAGTTCAGGTGGTATGAGGAACACTAATGCAAGAGGTGGTGGTATGGGTGTTAAAGCTGCTTCTTGAAAAAATCCCTTTTTGTACAAAAGGTCATTTGAAATATTGTGAGTGTAAAGATGTTTAATTAAAAAAATTGGAGGACTCTTTTCATTCGCTATTTTATTTGTTGAATTATTCTTTTTTTCTTCCTTATTATTTTTCTGATAATAAAGAGGTTTTATTTTTTTTTATTTTATTTTTTTTTTATTTTCTTCAAACATTCTAACTGCACTTTTTGTATATGCAAATATTTTGCATGTTTTTATCTGGAGGTATCTCTTTGTATGTAATGTAATTAATTTTTCCTTTATTTTTTTTTTTTCCTTTCAACTTACCACACGGCGAATTGATTCCCAAACTCCTTCATTTTTGCTCTTATATATATATTTTTTTGAATATAGTAATTAGTTTTTTTTTATTTTTGTAGCGATAATCCTTGCTACTTACTTATATTTGTTATGACTCATTTCTCTTGCAAGATCACTTTTTTTAAAAAAAAAAAACATTTCTCCTTTGTTTTTAAAATCGCTCTTTAAAAAGATTAATAATTTTATTTCTTAAAAACTTTTAATGATCAAAAAACATTTATTATAAAAAAAAATAGGAGAGCATGTTTGTAATCCTATTTTTGATTATAATATATATATTTTTATGTTGATTCCAACACTTTTTCTTTCCTTTTAAGTAAGAACATTATTTTTTTCCTTGCATTATATTGTAAAAAAGAAAAATCTCCCCTTATTCCCTTATCTTCATTTTTTTCCGCATACAACCTTAACTCAATGTTACGTTTATAATCTTTTTTAACAAACTTTTTTTTGTTGGTTATTAGGAATTATAGAAAATTGGTCGTCATCTTTTTATATCCTACATATTTCTTTATTCTTTTTTCACGATTTTGCTGTCAATAGTTAATTATTGTAATTACTATGAAAAAGATATTAACCAAGAAAAAAAAAGAAAAAACCACAAAGATCACTATATGAAAAAAGGCAAATTCAAAAAACAAAATAAAAAGACTTTAATATGTATTGTTGCCTTTTTATTATCAACAAAACGATCTTATTTATTGTTTGTTTCATTTATTATTTTTATTATTTATGATCAAATCACGTATAAAAACACGAATGCAAATTAATCCCATTGATCTTAATGAGATGGTGGTGAAGCTAGATAACCTTTATTTTTTGGATCCGAATACCAAACTATTATAATAAAAAGTTAAAAATTTAGTATAAAAGCAATTGAATCACGTGAAATTTTATAAATATGTACCAATATCGCGTTGTTTCATCGGAGCAGCGAATTTTGGTATTTTCCAAAATTTTTCAGGTTTAATTGTAGCTCTTAAAGCTAATTTATTAAAATATCTACAAGTAATCTTTCCTCCAACTGAGTCAATTGTTTTTATGGCTTGTTGAGACGCACGTGATACTTCAATTGTAATTGGAGTCTTGAAATGCTCTTTACCCTATTAAAAAATATTTTAATAAGTAAATTTTTTCCTTAAAAAAATGGAAAAAAAAGGTATTTACATCAGCCAATATTTTAACTCCATCTTTAACATCTCTTACACATCTCGAGTCCAAAAGATGTTTCATCGTAATAGGCTGTGAAGGATCTATTCTCCCATTATCTATCCAATGTTGAAGTCTATCAAGATTTAAAGGAGCCCAAGTCGTTTTGAAGCTAGACAATAAATATAATGTTACGTAAAAGTAAAACAATGTCCTTGTTTCTCTTGAAAATTACATACAGATTATAAAAACCTCTTTTAGGAAAACGTCTACTAAGGGGAGTTTGGCCTCCTTCGAAATCTCTTCTTGGTTTGCCATTACCACCACGAGCCTTTTGACCTTTATGACCTCTACCGCAAGTTTTGCCTCTACCTGAAGCTGGCCCACGTCCTACGCGTCTTTTCTAAACAAAATCATAAAAAGACATACATAATTTGTTGAAAATTTCAAATTTGTAATTTTTCTCAGGTTGAAAGAGCTTATCATTCACCTCTTTGGTTGCTTTACGATTATCGCTTAAACTACCTAAATCTAATTTTCTTGTCGGTACCTGTAAAAATGATACATAAGGTCGAAAAAAAAAATCAAATTTCGATAATGATAGAAATGGATTTGAATGTGATTGTAAAAAAATTAAACATTTTGAAGTAAAGCGGGACATAGTAAAAATATCCGTCACTAGAATTTCGGAATTCGGACATCTACAGGTTACACCAATTTATAACATTTTGGATAGATATTTTGTATACATTGAATCTAATATTTCCTTTAGAAGCAAAAATTAGCTTCATTTGAGGAATTGTAACTGAAGTAAATTTTACCCATGCTAAAAACTACTTAAAAAAGAGAAAAAGAAAATAAACTAAAAATAAATAAGATAAAAAAAAAGGAAAAATAACAATAATTTTCTTTAAAGTATATGTAAAATATCTTAATATTTTAAGAGTGAAGAATAGTTGACATTTCAGAAAGAAAATAAACTCTATTAAAAGGTAAAAAACAAAACAAAATAAATTATTTTTATAAAGAAGGTTTTCTGTTTTTTTGTTATAAATTTAATAGAATAATAAGTTCTAATTTCAGTAATGATTATAGAATAATAAAATTTAACTTGTTAAAATACTCTTAAAATAAAGATGACCAATAGTTTTGAAAACTATAATCTTTTCTAATTTTATGTAATAAAAAGATCAATTTATGATCCATTTATACTTGACACTTAAACTGAATGTTAAAACTGGAAAAATTAAGTTTAAATACTAATCTGGATAAACTGAATAAATATGGGAAAAATTTTATTCAAATCTGAACAAAATGGACAAATTTAAACCCAAACTGAAATTTTAAATTAAACTTCATTTATATAATAATCTTAATAACCAATCAATAAAATATGTATTCTATTATTGTAAAACATTATAAAATTTTATTTAATAATTTTAAAATAATATTCAGAGGAAATTTCATATTAAATTTATCTATTTGTTCATCAGATTTTCAAGTTTATCCATTTGGAATTATAACTAGAAATGGAGATCAGTTTATCAGTTTTATTTCAGTTCTTTGTTAATTTTACTTCAGTTTCATATTAAGTAAAATATGAGCTATATGTATTAAATTTAAAATGCAAATAGAGTATATAATAAAGATCAATTAAAAAAATTTTGATTGATTATTAAACAATAGTTAGTAACTAACTAACTATCTTATTTGAATATACTATTAAACTCTTGTCAATATATTATTATTACTTATTTTTATAGAATAATAGAATTGGAAATCAAATGATTTAGTTAGTAGGATATCAAAACAATTTTTTTTAATGCTTCTTATTAGTTATAATTCTTAATACAATTTATAATTACCAGTAAAATTTTGATAATCTGATTTAAAACAGTTTCTTCAAATCAATTTTAGTTTGATTTTTAGAATAGTTTTCAAAGTATTTTAAGTTTAAAATTTGTTAAAATTAAAATTAGTTTTAGAACTAATTTAAGATCACTTTGTTTAAAAGTTAAAACTTTTTTATCTCTGTCCAAATTAAGTTTTTTCAGTTTTTTATCATAGGATTTTAAAAATACTGAAAATCTCATTTGTTCTAATATTTTTATCAGATAAATTCCAAACTTTTAAATAATGGAACTAATTGCTTAAAATTGAAAAATTAAAATTTTTATATTGTATAATTACTAGTTAAAAAATTTTTCTTTAATAATGCTAAATTCTAATTTTTTATTTAAAATATTATATTGCTATTTTTCAATAATTAAAGTAACTAAAAAACTTAAATACTTTTAATAGGTTAATTAAAATTTAATTTAATAGAAGAGTTTTAAGTTAATCAAGGACTACCTACTATTAAAATAGATTACCCTATAGTCTAAGGTAAGGTTTACATATAAAATTCTTTAAAGATTCTACTATAAAAGAAAAATTTTATGTTACATTATTATGATTTTTTTTCTTTTTAGTTAATTAACCAATAGAATTTAAGTATATCTAAAATAAGATTTTATATAAAAGTAAAATTTCTACTAGTGACATATCTTAGTAGTAGGTAGGATTCTGTTAATTATGATCATAAATAATTATATAAAATAATGTTAAATATTCATAAATTTTTATTAGTAGTATATAATTGATAATTACTACTTTATATTATAATATAATAGTAAGAGTTGCAACTTATTATTACTTTTAAAGTTAAAGTATTGTAATATTATAACACTTATGATTTTTAAATTTCCTTTTTTAAAAAATAAAAATTACAAAAATAAATTTTTGTAGAACAGATATTATTATAAAAAGAAATGATAATTGGGGTCTTTGCAATAGAAAGGTACGAAACTCAAAAAAAAATTTAATTTTACTTTATATGCTAACATATGGGCCGATTCTTGGAATCTAATTTTTTTACACAAAAATAATTTTATTAAAGCAAATATGACTTATCATTTATATAAGAATAATAAATTTATACTAGATAATGCAAAAAAAACTAATTAATTATATAATTTTCAATTTTTTTTTAATATAAGATATCATTAAAATTTAAAAGATCAAATATAACTCTCATGACAAAATCATTGATAATTCTTCGTAGAAATAAGCTATACAAATAAATTTACATTCATTTGAAAGAGAAAATCGAGATC